ATTTTATTATAAAATAGGGGGCAAACAAATAGACGGGTCACTTGGTGGTAAGTGACTACCTCCGCCCATGGACTCCTGCAACTCATGAGTCACAAGCGTGTTGCATTTGGATTTACTTACCTACAATATTATTTGCAACAGATATTCGCGTGAGATAAAACTAGCAGTAATTTGTTAAGAAATAAAAATATATTAATAACATTGCTGTCCAACAGCTTAAATCTGACTAACGATTTTAACTTGTCGTTTTTATTCGACGCTACAGTGCTATCACAGCGTCGAATTTCAAACGAACTTAGTTTGAAGTTCGACGCTGTGGCAGAGATGTACGGAAGACTTCTTCTTTCCTTAGAGAATAGCAATGCAGGACATGAATAGGATTTCGAATTTAGTAACTTTTCATTGATAATCTCTTATTAAGTAAAAAAGATAGTAAAAGCTACATTTGAAGTTTTTAACAATAACTACTTCTATCTTTTTAGTTTTTAATAAATAGACTATGGAAAACTCTAAGTAGGTACATGTTAACATTTCCTTTGTTTTTGCGACTTTTGGTTTGTAACACAAATTCAACTGTAGTGTCAGACAGCCTTAAGGTTTCAAACGGGTTTCTAAGAAATTCGCATTTTTAATGGGCGTAGTCTTATCCACCTAAATAGTACATTATTTGATACCAAACATACATAACCAACCAAATTGCCTCCTGTTTTTTTAGGTTCGTTAAATATTGACATACTTTAATATTTTGCATAGTCATTTAAAAAATGCCAGCAACTGCACTGCTCTCAAGTATTTCAAATATTTGAGTCAGTGGGGGTCTAATCTTACGCACCGACTACAATATTTCATTCCTATCCCGGGCCAGTTGAGTACCTTTTTACTTATATCATTGAAAAAATAATATTAAGTTTGTGACCTGGTGGTATAATGTCTCATCTTCTGTCACACACAAACATATCTTATATTGGGCGACTACTGGATGGTTAGACTATTTTGTCCAACTGAGGTTAAGGTATTGTTGAATGAAGGGTATACAAGTCGTTTTAATAATTTGTTGAAACACAACTGATTGTCAGAGCTCAGTTGTTACGGGTCATTAATATGTTCACTTCCAATGTTCAAATCAAATCAAAAGAGATTTTATTTACGAGTTTCGAAAGAAGAAATAAACATGGTTTCGTACGCGGCCAAAGGGTTTCGGACATCTAACACAAAACACCATCTAGTTTCAAACTAAGCAGAGCTTGTACAATGAAAACTAGATTGACTGATAGAATACATATATACTTTCTAAACTCCGAAACAAATATTTGCAAATCATACAAACATTTGGTCCGTCCGACCCGTTCAGCGAACCTGAGACCTCGGCACCACCGAGGCAGTATTTTGGTGCCGATAATGAGTTAAAAATAAATAAAACTTTGTGTTAGGATGTAAACAACATTTTTATTAGCATCGTCCAAAGGTGATTATAAAGCTTATTTACATCTACAACTGTACAACTATACACATGTTTTACACCTCACGGATTTGTTTGACATAATCCTTATATTCACATAGCTAGTAGGATTTCTACATTTTGGCAAAAAATATATAAAAAAAGATTAACACAAGTTACAAATTGAGTCATAGATGTATGTGTAAAAAAATACTTTAGGTAAAAGTTGTCTTATTCTTAAATAATTACATTTTAATTTTAATATGAAAACCAGATCTGCATAACTGTAATCTATAGTTACAAAATATATTATGTTTCTTTACTAGTACATTGCTGTTAATTCAAAAGTAACCTACTAAATTTGACACTATAAAGCACCCAAAATTTTATTTTTATGTAGGATTATATTCACAGAAGTTAACGCAATATTTTAGGAATAAGTAGTCCTAAACGTCATGTATGCCTGTATTTTACGCAGAAACTAATGTGACACTGGATAACTAAAAAAACAATGTTTACTGATTACATCATGAAACCAAATTTAACATATTCAATTTTAGTAAAAAAAAAAATATGCGAATAAATCATACAGTGCAACATAATTTTGTTCTTAGTGTGAATCTTTACTACATTATGGTCCCGATAAATGCTGTCGGGCACTCACACTTTTTTAATATTCGACATTTATATATTGATTATTCTGCAACAATAAAGTGCAGTGGATCCTTGAAATCACCGCACTAGTACACAATAACATAAGTGGATTAACTATATCCAAGTATATATTTCGGATCAAACCCGATGGGGGCCCCCTATTAAGAAGTTTACTCAACGTCTTTGTAATGTTGTATATTTCTTTACAATATGTAAGATTTATCGGACACGGCAACTAGGCATGCTTAATTACTACAAGTATGTAAAATAAATAGCTACAAAAATGACTTAAATCGTGCCAGTTACGTGTTTTAGTTAACGTGAAACTAACTATACTAGCAGGTACTTATTGGTGAGGCACCATGTGATGTCGTCTTACTTTCATCGCTGCTTCGCTTAAAATTTCAACGTGAATAAATAGCACAAGAAATTATATTAGTAACTAAGAAAATGAGTAAATTAGTCGTTATGAGTAATGGTGTAAACAGTTCTCTATATTTACTTATTGGTGAACTATACATCAAATTCAAGCGTGTTTTGGGCAATTGCGCATTTTTTTTGTCTGAAGTGTAACCGATCATTCCCTAATTTCTTTTATTTTTTAACTCAATTACATACTGTTATGAAAACATATAACTATTAAATATATATTTTTTACAACTCCCGTGTTTGTTTTCATAATTTGTGCGACATGTATGCGGATTAGATATAATGAAGGCGATATTTTATATAAATGACGATAACTTTTGTACATACGACGTTCTTTAGAATTGCAGTCAAGGGTCTGCCATCATCGTCCAAGTTTATGGTGAATGTATGAGATTTAAAAAACCATCCCAGGTCTTCTTTTGTAATCATAGCATCACTGCATCAGTAAAAAACAAATAGTGTGAAATATTAATAATAGTGAACTAATAGTAAAACTAATGCTGTTTACACAAAATTTATGTCAAAAGAAACAATTTGATAAATAACAAAAAAATGTAAGCCAAATACATGTCGCCGTACATACATAGTTGTCGTTACTCGTCTTATTTTTCCTATGTGAGAACAAGCGGTGCAATTTGATCTCAAATCGATTGAACAACCGGTATCATACCTTATAAATAATTTGTCGACGAAGTCCTTATATACACTTATCTAATATGACAACTACTCCGCACAGATCAATACTAATCGAGTTCTATTTACCTATGAATATGTTGTTTAGTATCCACACAGAAATAATGATCACTATAACGTTAAATAAAGAACGGGTAAAAAAATATTTGGCGGTACCTTCTCGCTGATTTAAAATATATTTTAGCTGCTTTTCTCAGCTGCGCCTTACATCGTATGTATGGGTTTGTTGCGCGTACGCAATACTCGGATGCACTAACACACATCAAATACACTTCAATGTAACAGATGTGCTCCTGAATCATAGCTGCAATTTTACAAGATCAAGGAACTCCAACGTTATTGCTACAATTAATCGTAGTATTTAAAAAATAACACTCCATAAAAACTGTTTGGAAAAAAAATACAGTGAAAGCAAGCACTAATAATCTACTTAATTTTATTAATGAGATTTACTCATGTTTTTTTCTATGTAAACATTATCATAGGCGTTGAACGTAAAACAATAGTCCATTCGCATTAAGAAAATTGTACGCATCGATCAAGAACCCGCACCCTGACCAATCAGATTCTAAGAAATTATCGTTTCGTACGAAAGATTGGAACCTGATTGGTTAGTGTGCGGGGCTTGACCGATGCGTTACTTTTGTTTTTAACAATTAAAATATAATTTTCTAATTGTCATTTTTAGAGATGGGCCCTCTAGAGAGACTTTCAAAATCCTCGTTCAAATATCATTAGTTAAATAATAATATTTTGGTTATTAAACATATACACACCCATCACATACATTCTTTAAACACTTTTATTTAAAGATTTTAAATGAGTTACTTGCATTGATATTAGTTACATAGTGAGTATGTTATTTTATAACAGTTGCCTCTAATATCACCTATTTTTATTTACCCTTACAAAGTCTAATAATAAATGTGAGCGTAAAACAAATATTATTTGAAAGCAACTAATAATCCAATGAATAACTAAGATATATAACTCACACTAAAAGTGATATGAAAACAACTAACTGACTAAAAATACGGCTAAAATAGGTTATGCTAACAAAAAATGTGAATGGTAGTCCATACAATTTAGTATAGCTTGTTTATTTTTAGAAGGCCTCAGTTTAATCTCGTTCAACACAAAACTGGTGGTAATCAAAATTACTAGTGTAGTGTTTCATTTCTTATTTTTTCCTGGCCACTAAAGAACATGTTTCAGAAACATAGGTACAGTTACTTAGTTAATATCAGATGAATTAGATTAATAATCTCTGTAGTTAGAATAACATTCAATAATATCTAACTGTTGTATTCACAATCGGTTCGGTTAATAATGATATATCTATTTTAGATATCTTAGTAGTAGGGAGACGTAAAATAAAATAGATGTATTAGTTACCTACGGATCTTCTTTTCTACAATGAAAACTATACTATTATAATGATTAGATAGTTTTAAAGGAGTATGCTTTATCAAACCAGTAACCGCGAACGCCGTGATCAGTCGATTGCACGGGGTCGACCCCAAATAGATTTGAAAGGATATCAGTCTTTTGTAAATTGACATTTCAGAGCACTGATAGTATTTTTATTATCTAATAAACTTTTAGATTCGTTTAACATTTTTTTATGTTAACTGTAATACTGCGTTAATTCTTTAAAGCGTGCAGCACGTAACAGTGAGTATTAACTGTGCCGTACTCTGAAATTTCAATCAGTCCAATTTTCTATAACGATTTAAAAGGCACAAAGAGTCTAATCTAGTCGGTAAGTGAGTAGTATTAGTTAGCACTAGTTGGGCTTGGGACAGGGCGGCGCGGGGCGGTGCGGGCGCGGCGCGTCGTCGTGCACCTCGTCGTACAGGTTGGCGTTGGAGTAGAGCGGCCGCGCGCCCGTCGCCTCCCCGATCTCGCTGTACAAGTTACTCGCCGTGTCGTTGACCTCGTCGTACACCGCGCCGCGAGACGTCGAAGCGACGTTCGCCCCGTAACTAACCGCGTAATTGGAGTACTGATTGATATCGACGTTCTGATACTTGAGCGCCGAGTAATTTTTCGAATTCTCCACGCAATCGCTGAAGTTTTGCAATTTCTCAACCTCCTCCTCGTGCTTAGGAATATAAATGTTTTTTTCGTAATCGTTCTCGGTGTAAGTTTTAGTCGGCGTAGACAGCTTCGTGTAGTAGTCTTTCGTCTCCAGTATGAACTGCTGCTGGGCCGGGTTTATGTCGAAGTTCTTGTACAGAGGAATGTCGCGGTATTTACTGTCGTCGTTCGTACTGTCCGCGGCCGAAGTCGACGGCGCGTTGTATGTGTTTTCTGCATATATATGATCACTGTTATTGCTTTTTGTTCTGAGATTCAAGGATTCGGAGATTCTGTCGTCCAGCGACATTTGGGCGAGCGTTGATGCGACGCTCGGTACGGCGTTTCGTTCTAACGAGAGAGCATTCGTTTTCGCATAGTTCGATGTGGCCATCGCTCCGTACGGAGAGTTATTTTGATAAGTATTATTACTAGTAGAAGGCGTATTGTTATATATATGTGAAGAGTTAGCACTTGTGGGAGCCGTGTGATTGTTTAAGGAGTATCTGAGAGATTCTTGATATATTTGTCGACTGTTACGATCTTCAGGATCGAATCGTTGGTAATTTGGTCTAGACGGTGTTTGCTGGTTTGTGCCCCAGAATTGTGACGTATCAAAGGGGTCCGGTTGTGGCGTAAATGTTTGTGAATTACTAAAGTTAAGTGTAGTGGCAAGATTATCTAACGACTTAGCACCGTAGAGATTTGGATAGTTCTGTGTGGAGGTACTTGTGAACAGACCAGGTAAACTTTCAATGCTCTGCTCACCCCAATCAGCTTCGATACCTGTAATCATATTATTATATACGTATTACTTTTACAATAAAATCATTTTATCGTACGATCGGGTATAATTGAAACAATTATGCATGAGTTTTTTTATTGTAGGTGTCGGCGAAAATAAATGTCAAAACTACTACATACTACAAGTGATGGGTAAATTGTTTTTGATGAAAGACTTCGAGAAAGGCTGATCACAATTCGTTATTACACTGAATATTTGGAGGTTTCTGGGTCGTGATGATTTACCTATTTACATTTGAGTAACACTCTTTTTTATTTAAATCTGCCTACTTGATTCAAATTCATGATAATATCCGTATATACATAATCTGTACATATGAAATTACTTGCTCTGACTGTCTGATTGAAATGATACTTTAATTGCAGAGAGATTCATGAATACCCTATAAAAAAATATTATTGGAAGGTACACCCTTAAGAGGGTAAAAGAAGAGATGTATTGAAGTTCGTAATTTTCAAAATTAGAAACACTAAATAAGAAATAATCTCGCGAACGAAGCCGAGGGTAATTTCTAGTATAATATTAACAAATTGAAGTATGTATTATTGTGGTCGAAGCACCTACTGTTTAATTGACCAATTTGTGAAACAGTAGAACTTTGCCTCTATGAGATATCGGTATCATACTTAGAAAAACTATATATCATCCGTTAGCCGTGGTGTAACAATAATGACACATATATTGTGAAAACAATCCACTAAACTATTAGGAAAGAACTCAAACCTCATCAAGCTACATACTAACGGCTAGAAAGTTTTTTCTTCTCTGTCTTTGTTAGTATATTCGATAAATCACGTTGTTAAACATATGTTTTTATAACCAAATTATCAAACAAAAATACAATCAAATACGCCGACATTCTTACAGAACATCATGAAAATTTCGGTACATGAATCGTAAATAATCTGTTCCCTTTTTTTTGGTAACGGGGTGAAAAATAATTTTGGATCTCCGGCTCCTTGGGAAAGCAGGAGCCAGGAGTATAATTATGGTGTTTTCAAATAAAAACTACCCCGACGGCCTTTTTTCATACGTGTGGCAACCCCTTCGAGCCGTTACTCCACCGGGGTTGTGGCGGGGCGGTGAGTCGGAACCGGATCAAAAAAAGCCACATGGTCTGCCACTCTGAGCCGGAAACAGAAGTGTTCCGGGAACAGTTGTTATTAAGACATCCGAACCACTTCTAGTGGCTGCCAGCAATAGCGCGACCATCTCGCCGCTTCCTACTACGCTGAGTATTGTGGATTCGATCCCCACATGGGAAAACACATGTGATCCGCAAATTGTTGTTCTGAATCTGGGTGTTCTTTGTGTACGTTTCATGTACGTTTGTAAAGCCCCCCGCAGTACAGGATATATTCCTAATGCTAAAAAACTATTGAGTGCATCACGTGCGCAACACGTTGATATGTACCACTGAATGCGTACGCTAATCTGTTCCCCCATGGCTAAAAAATTAGTGAGTTGATTGGAGACTAAAAGCTAAGCTAATTTGGAATTAGCTCACACACTTGACGTAGTTCTCCATAGGTAATCAAGGCCGTGGGGTGCGGGTCGGGTAACCTCCACGTGCGTCGCCGTGTTTCTTGTCCTTCATGGCCACTGTGTCCGGGGGGAACGGAAGCAGGGGGCCGGTGCATCCTGGGCGACGGTCAATAACTTCCCTTTCAGGGGTGGGTATTGGCCGCCGGCAAATAACTCGGCAGGGGGGGGTAAACCGCTCTCGGTACTTCTCTGTTCATCAGAGGAGACTGGACGAGCGAAGGGGTTATGGGCAGAGGCCGAGGTGGGATCCGTATGGAATCCAAGGGCGGGTCGGCCCACTGCTTACGCAGGGGCTGACAAGCACTAGTGCTGCCGCCGGTGAGGGAGGGTTAGTCACCCTCTCGCATTTCGTAACCAACAGGGGTTCAGCAACGACCCAACTGGTGGCTCCAGGAGGGTACGCTGAGAACCTGTTGGCCGGAGGGCTTGCCTTAATTGGCCGACCTATGACAAGGACAGTCTATAACACCCGACAGCGAAGTCGTTAAGACCTGTGGATACCAGCCGACCTCCACAGTACATAGGCTTATCCGGGTGCAGGGGGCACCGCCCGGATGGACTTCATTTCCCCCATACTCGTGGGATTAAATATGGAATTTAACACAGAAAAACAAAAACCAAAAACAACGGACGGATCTACCAACGACATTGGCTTAATGGAAAACGGCCAAAGAATTTATAGAGAGGAGAAGCGCTTGACTAAGGTGAGAGAGAGTGACGAACGGCGGTTGCGGTCGCGTTCATTGAAAACACCTTTCTCCAGACCCTCCACCCCGCTGCCGCTTGACGGAGGTGATCGAGGCGGAGAGAGCGATAGCTCAGCTTCGATAGGGTCGGAGAGAGAGACACGCAGGCAGTCGCGGAAGCGTAGTCTACACGATGATGAGGACGGAACTGGTTTTGCGAAGCGGACACACAGTGTCAGTTACGCAAACCAGCCCAGCTCAGCTGAGGTTGGCACCCAAATGCTGCTAAGTCTGGATAATGTCGAGGAGACATTGGACAGACCCCGCAGCACGAAGGCGGAAGTAATGAGCTCCATTCGTCGGGCCCTGCAGACTCTGCGGGACGGCGTTAAGGAGCTCTGCAACAGAGCGGTGACACGCGAGTACGAGGAGGTGTCCGTGCAGAACCAGGCGTCATCATCGTCGCTGGCGGACCGGGTGAGGGTTCTCGAACAGGAGAACGAACCATCTTCGGCGGTGCTGCGGAGATCGTCGGCCACAAAGGTGGCGGGAACGATCCCGCTGCCTTCCTCGATGGCGGAACTGGGGCCGGAAATGGGCTTGCCAGTGCCACTGGCTCACCCGGCAAGGGAGGACCATCCGGACTGGGAAGAAATCGCGGCAATCATGAACCGTGAGTTTGCCCGTTTCCAGTCCGGGCTTTTAGCTAGGTTCTTCCCAGAGAAAGGTGCCAGACCACCTCTAGGCCAAGGACGGACTCCAGTGGTGCGGCAGGCGGCTGCTGCAGCTACTGCGCTCTCTTCTCCTTCTGAGAAGAAGAAGAAGAGAAAAAAGAAGAAAAAGAAAGCGAAAGGGCTGACGGGGCAGCAACTGACCCCAGTAACGAAGCAGGCTTCGAGTCTTGGAAGGTCTACCCTGCCGGAACTAGCGATAATGCAGGAAGGGGGCACCTGGGCCCAAGTTGTTGGGAGAAAACCCAAGGCTACCGCTGCGAGACAGGGTGCGGTTGCTACTCCCGTCTCGAAGCCAAAGAAGCCGCAATTACCGCGACCCCCCACCAATGCTGCCGTCGTGGTCGCAGTGCCTCCGGGATCCAGTACCTCACTGGCGGAAGTAATGCAGGCCGCAAAAGCCCGTATTAAGCTGGCGGTGCTTGGCATTACGGGCGGGGTCCGCCAGCGAAAGGCAGCCACAGGGGCCTAGTACTGGAGGTCCCCGGGCCGGATAGCGCTGCCAAAGCGGACGCTTTGGCCGAACGCTTGCGCGCGATCATGGGCGACACAGATGCGCGATTTATGCGTCCGTGCAAAACGGCCGAAATGCGGGTGATGGATTTGGACGAATCCATCACCGCCATCGAGGTTGCGGAGGCAATAGCCGCAGTGGGTGGTTGCTCTCCGTCCGACATCAAGGTCGGGGAGATACGCAGAACCGCAGCCCGATTGGGAACGGTTTGGGTCCGGGGCCCACTTACAGCAGTACGCCAAGCTGCGGCCGCCCAACGCGTGCAGGTAGGCTGGGCGTCGGTCCGTACCGAAGCGTTGGCACCACGGCGCTTGCAATGTTACCAATGCCTTGAAATGGGACACGTCAGGGTAAAATGCTCAGGTCACCCTGACAGGAGTGGGCGCTGCTTTCGCTGCGGAGAATTGGGCCATAAGGCCCGAGACTGCGCAGCGAACGCACCGAGGTGTCCGGTGTGCAGTGACCACGGCCGGCCCGCAAACCATCGGCTGGGTAGCAAGAGCTGTTGCCCACCGAAGAAGCAAAAGGAGGGAGAGGTCCAGCCGCGCCCCGCCTTTGCCCAATCTGGACAGCCAGTGTCGAGTTGTAACTCGACGGGAGAGGCAATGGAGGCTTAACATTCCCACCACACGCAAGGGTTCTCCAGGGCAACCTCAACCTGGGGAAGGCTTCCATTGCTCTCTCCTAAGAAAGGGTGCTGGCTTCGTGGCAGTGGAGTGGGGGGTAACAGTGGTGGTGAGGTGTTACTTCTCTCCCAATCGTGGCCTTGCCGAATATGAGGCATACCTGCACGGGTTGGCAATCTGCATTCGCAGCTACGCCTCCCGTCCGGTATTCGTCCTGGGTGACTTCAACGCCCACTCAAGGGAGTGGGGTGACACTCGGGACGATGCGAGGGGAGAGACTATCCTGGAGTGGGCGGCTGGACTGGACCTCCGACTTCTAAATCGGGGCTCAGTTAGCACCTGTGTGCGATGGCAGGGGGAGTCGATTGTCGACCTGTCATGGGCGACTCCCTCTGCAGTGCACATGGTGTCGGCATGGCGGGTGGCGGAGGAAGTGGTCAATCTTTCTGACCACCGGCACATCGTATTCGATGTGTCTCTTCGCCGCGCTGACCGCCCACGTCAGGATAGAGAACCTCCGCGACGATGGTCCCTCAAGCGGCTTGACCGAGAGATGGTCGTTGCCGCATCCCACGTGGCGGATTGGTTGGAGGAAAGGGTTTTGTCCGATCCAGAAGAACAGGCGGCCTGGTTTGGGAACATTATGGCGTCCGTATGTGATGCCTCAATGCCCCGAGTCAGGCCGGCCAGGAAGGGCTCGGCGTACTGGTGGAGCGTGGAGATCTCGCAGCTGAGAACGACGGTCGCGAGATTGCGCCGCCCGTATCTTCGAGCCCGGAGAAGACGGCGAGCTACAGCCGAGGAGATCGAAGTAGCACGGCGGGAATATGGCGCTGCTGTAAAAGCTCTCAGCGATGCAATCGCTGAGGCCAAGGCTCGGTCCTGGAAAGAACTCATCGGGGGACTGGATAGAGACCCATGGGGGCGCCCGTACAAAATTGTACTGGGCAAGCTAAAACCATGGGTCCCTCCATTGACGGAAAGCCTGGACCCGGAGTTCCTGGGAGGAGCGGTAGACACGCTCTTCTCAAGGATCCAGGACAGTCCCTTGATCTCTCCGTTACAATCGGACCGGCAACTCTGGTCCGACGAGTGTGAGGTGACGGAGGGAGAGCTGGACCGAGTCGTGCGGCGACTGGCTTCTCGCAACACTGCGCCCGGACCTGATGGTATTCCAGGTCGGGCGCTGGTGATAGCTCTGTCGGTACTGGGGGACAAACTGAGGCGGATTTTCACAGATTGTCTTAGCCTCGGTGTGTTCCCCCTCGGCTGGAAAGAAGCGAGACTGGTGCTCTTGAAAAAGGAAGGTAGAACTGCAGATTCTCCCTCTGCGTTCCGACCGATTTGCCTGCTGAACGAGTCGGGGAAACTCTTTGAGAGGGTTATCTCTGATCGTATCAGCGGGCACCTGTCGCGAGTAGGCCCTGATCTGTCGGACTGCCAGTTTGGATTCCGACGGGGGCGTTCGACAGTGGACGCTATCAGGTGCGTTCGCTCCATGTCGGAGTCGGCAGTCCGATCAGGGGGGGTCCCTTTGGCGGTTAGCCTTGATATCGTCAACGCGTTCGGCACCCTCCCCTGGCAGGCGATAAGGGCGGCCCTTGAATTTCATGAGGTGCCGCTCTATCTGCAGGCCATCATTGGGGCCTATCTGCGCGATAGGACAGTGAAGTTTATCGGTCGGGGCGGGATGGAAATTCGGAGACAGGTGTGTTGCGGGGTTCCCCAAGGCTGTTTTAGGCCCTTTGTTGTGGAACCTCGCTTACGATGCGGTCCTTCGCACCAGTCTGCCCTCTGGCCTTAGTGTTGTCTGCTATGCAGATGACACTTTAATACTGGCTAGAGGGTCACACTTCGACGAGGTGCTTCGGCTCGCCGAGCATGGGGTGGCTTGTGTCGTAGGAAAGATTCATGAGCTGGGTCTGAGAGTGGCGCCTCGGAAAACTGAGGCGATATGGTTCCATGGCCTACGTAAGCGCCAGGAACCACCCAACTCATGCCTCCGGGTGGGAGACGCTGAAGTCCAGGTGGGCCGGTACATGAAGTACTTAGGCCTCATACTTGACAGTCGGTGGAGCTTCGAAGAGTCCAGCCTACAGCGGTTGATGGCCATACGGGTCGTACGGGGTTATCGTACCATCTCGTTTGAGGCGGCGACGGTCCTGGCTCGATATCCACCCTTCGACATTCTGGCCGACATGGACGCGATGGTCTATGACCAAGTCCGTTCTGTCGGTCGGAATGGTGAGGAGGCCGCGCCGGATCATGAGCCCGGAATGCTACGGCGAAACGCGCATACGCAGGCTTTGCGAGCGTGGCAGGCACGGCTTGTAATCCAGGGCTGTGCTAGCCAACGCGCCGTCGGAGCCGTTCTGCCGAGCTTCGAAGCGTGGGTAGGGAGGAACGACTGTGTCACCTACCGATTGACTCAGATGCTTACCGGGCACGGTTGCTTTGGTGAGTATCTGAATCGAATTGGACGGGAGGCCACGGCACAATGCCACCATTGCGGGTCCGACCGGGACTCCGCCCAGCACACGCTGGAGGACTGCCCTGCATGGGAGTCCGAACGTCGAGTCTTGGTCGGACAGATCGGACGAAACCTGTCACCGCCAGCATTAATCGCGGCAATGCTGGCGAGTGGCGAGGGATGGGCAGCCGCGGTCTCCTTCTGCGAGGACGTTATGCTTCAAAAGGAGGCCGCAGAGCGGGATCGGGAGAGGGCCGATCCCGCTCGAAGGAGGCGGCGAAGGGGACGCGGCAGAGCTCGCTAACTCCCCAATCGCCGCCTAAGGGTCACTGCGGCCACATCTTGGGGCGATGTGACCGCTGTAAACGACCCGAGACGGATGACACTCCGGTGCGGCCGGGGGGGTGTCGTCTAAGGCGGGACGCCGTTGCGCCTTTTACTCTGTAGAGCAGTGAGAGGCGTGATAGCGTCCTGCCCCAGGGTGACTACGGTCACTCCGGGATGTGCCTCAGACATGAGGTACGGCAGGGAGGACTCCAGAAGTCGCCGATGCGTTCCTGGAGCTCTTCCCGACTGCCGAGGTAGGCCGCCGCGGGGTTTAGTAGGTAGACCGGTTCTCTGGGAGTCCCACACACGCCCTGCGTTTCCCCAACGGAGGGTATGGTGCGAAAAGCATTCCCCGCGTGAAAAAAAAAAGGTAATCAAGGCCGTGTAAACTAACGGAAATATTTCAAGGTAAGCTAAGCAATGTGTTGACTTTTCCAGGGCCTGGAATGCCTCTTCTATCAAGTCTTACGAATATTTTTTTATGGTATAGGAGAGAAAAGAGCAGACGGGTCACCTGATCGCAAGCGACTACCGCCATTTATAGATCGATCGAGTCATACGTGCCGAAACATGGCTCTCCCACGACAACTACGGTGGCGATAGATTGGTTCTTAAATAATCCTTTTCCATCATTTTAATAGACTTTCTGTAGTACATAAGTAGTAGTGTAGTACAAGCGTAAAGGTAAGAAATATGTTTACCTAATTCAGGCACATCTATTGGTTCATCAAGAATAGAGATGGCGCTTTGGCTATTTGGTGTCTTAGATGTCGTCTTTTTACATGGTGTGCTAACTCTTGTAGATGATGGTGGCAGATCGAGATCGATTAATATGTCTTCTCTTACTGAAATGTTATAAAATAATATAGATAAGCATAGAAAGGAGATTGTACAACTCACTAGGCGACTTTCAATTCCAATGACATTTACAGTATATACTTTAATGATAAGGTTAACAAAAATAGATATATAAGAGTTACGTAATCAGAATAAATCGGCAAGATATTTTTATAATAACAAAAAGTGATGTTTAACAAATTAACAACACTAGTGTGTTCTCAATCTCATTTCTTCTTGAAGATCGATAAAAAGATCTACATTCTTACAGGAAATCCACCAGAACATATTATGTACCTTGATTCAAACTCTTGGAATGCGCATCTCTAGTACTTCTCACCGCTCTATCCTTGTTCAAGGCAGCTACTCTGTCATTTATAAGCTTGTTGTAATTAAAATGTTTGCTACCAGTATTCCCTCCGCGTGTGGTAGGTGCTTGTGTCGATTCAATGGTGCGGCGCTTGCGCAGGATCACCGCGGAGTCATCCGATACGCCGTTCGTTGATATCGATGACGGTTCAACTGTAAGACATGTTACAATGTAACACTATTTACATTCATTAATTAGTTAATTAACTGTAAGAGACGGATCTACTACTAAGTGATGCAAGTATGGCAGAAGTATATGTTATTGTTTCAAAAACTAATTTAGGTAAACCATAAACTTACAGTTTATACATAATTTATATCTACTAATATAATGTTTCAGTAATTATTATTTTTATACAATTTCTCTTTACAGAGTTTTCGATGCTATATAACTAAAATTATCATGCCGACTAGAATTTTTCTGAAGGGATTTCAACGGCTACAATACAGTTGGTTGTACATAAAGTTTTAAATAAATTAAATAGTTAAGTAGATGAAAACATGTGGTCGTTTAGTACAGATAAAAAAGAATGAAATCATAGATAACATAATTACTTTACTTAAGACAATAATCATTGCATTTTTATAGAAAACCTACTTTGTAACGGATAAACAGATCTATCAATAAAATCTTGAGTTTCTGCCGATAAATCCACTGTTGCGTCACTGGATAAAACTACAAACGTAGTATGTTTACTCACACTACAATAATATGGGTTTGCTCGAAATAACAAGTGGTATTATTAATAATAATTTCGTTGCAGGGCAGATTAATGAAATATCATGAATACACAAAGGTTGGGTGCATAGATAGAAGATAGTCACATGATGTCATTGTAAATATATTCAAAGTTAGTAACCGTTATCTTCAAAGGCAAGTAAATTGTTACCACATATTGGTTAAATTGTTAGCTTTTTGAACTTCTTATTTGTATGAACTTGAAATATTCCTGATTTGACATTCCTCCGCGTTCTCACGCGGAGGAATGTCAAATTACCTTAAAAGGTTTAAAAGGATTTTTTTCACGTACTAATAAAGCCTACCTAAGCCTGTTGGTCTTGTAGTTTAGCGATCCTGACTGCTAAGCCAGAGGTCGTCGGATCGATTCCTACCCAAGACAAATATTGCGTGAAAAGCACAATCATTTGTTCAGTTTGGTTGAAGCTCATCTCTACCTTGATAAACACGTATGTTGGAAATTCCACCCCTAAAGGTGAAGGTGCAAAATGGGGGGTTGATTGTCGTTATTTTTGGTAGTAGCGTTTTCAAACTTACAGTTAATACTCTTTAGTTTGTATCTTCTTTTATACATAAGTATAACTATAATCTTGATTCATTGTATCCTCTATGATGTCTCATGTCGGCCACCTGGACGAAGTCATAGGCAAAAGCTAGTCATCCATAATTTCACGAAATTTGTAACTCATTTTTGATATATATCCTTACCGTGACAAATTCTCCAAGGCATTTTACAAACCCATTGCAATAAGCCTTGAATAGGTAGGTAATCTTGTGATAAATAAAGTAAATACGATTGTTAACTTAAAATTACATACATTACATATTTGTAGTATTTGTGAATACACAATGATGTTATAGATATGTTGGTACATGTTGTACAGTTTATTATGACAGGTGTGACGTTCGTACTAGACTCGCTTATTACAACTGTATATATTTATGAATTGGTCATCAAAGTGATAAAAAGTCCAGTTAGTCATAGTTAAACGATTTTCAATGCCAAGTACCTACATCTTATATGACGATATTACGCAGTTTATGAAAATGCTAATTCAAAAGAAAACTTAGATTAGTTACAGTAATGTATAGTAAAAAAACTCAATTTTAAAGTTGGATAAAAAAGGAATGTATGATTTCTTTTATTACTTTTTTATATATGTTCAATGTTCGTGTCGAATGTTCTTCATTGTTCAGATTAAAATAAATGTGGTAACTTTTATTTTGAGTTTAAGGCAAATGTAGCAAACAGGTAAAGCCTTCGTGGTGATAATGATACTAATTCTGTTGTTGACACAACTAAACTAAAATTAAAAAGTGAGGTGATTTCCAAAATGCTATTCTGTTGTCAACTCGAACTAAATTTGGTGTCATTTAGACAGCATTAAATTTGACATCACTAAAAGTTAAAGTGTTTCCGTTGTTAAAATTAAGAATGAATGATGGAGAGTGAATTGAAAAAATATTTTCAATTGATATTATTAGGATTTTAAAATGCCTCTAAAATATTGTTAATGCATATAATAGATCACATAGTACACAAAATCGTATTTCTCAGTTATAACTAAGTAAATACAGTTTTACTCAGTCCACATACCTGTCAACCCGCGGAAATCCTTTTTCGTTATTTATGTAACTAAGCATGATAAAAAAGTCATTTTATAACAAAATAATTAACAAACAATAATATCAATCCAATTGAAAATAAATACATAAACTAGAGCATAAATAAACTAATTAGCTAGCAATAGACGGTGCTTTACGAGGGCTCGCAAAAGTTTTCTACCTAGTAATAATATGTAATAATTTTAAGACGGTTGTTTTAAGCGAATTATCTTTTAATATGTGAAAAATTTATTGGGGCTTCATTAATTAATAACTTTTATCTAAACACTATTTACATCGATATTATTTCATATAAGTAATATTAATAAAATATTAATATATATTTTTATAATTTTCGACAGAAGGCGTCAGTAACACCATAAAATTCTAATGATTAAAAATTGTTAAATTCTCTATTTTTATTAAATGTAATATGATAGTTTTATGTTAGATCTAGACATGAATTGAAATTACTATGTGAAAAATATGGATATATATATATATATGGATGGCCCATAGATTTTTGCTAAACTGACCAGAGGCAAAACACGTTATCGTTTTTCGGCATTAAAAAAATCAACCAAATTTAAAAGATTTCTTTGTACTTTATTTATAATAAACAAATTATATTATTATTATTGACTAAATTAAGTAACTTAAATACTTTAGAGTGTGTCAAACTTAACATAGTTAGGTCCTACGTTTTCAGAATACGACACGTTGTTTGACCGGACTAAGCAAATTTTTAATCATTTTTAGTTTAGAGAATTTTCGAACAACAGAATTAACACCATTATGTCTTTTTTACTGCACTTCTGCCAATTTAGATGATATTTCTGTATTTTATAAGTTTTTGTGGTTTTTTTTTTATGGAAGAGGAAGTAAATGAGTATATGGGTCACCTGATGGAAAGTGACTATCGCCGTCCATGAACGCCTGCAACTCAGGAGTCACAAAAGCGTTGCCGGCCTTTAAGGAAGAGTACGATCTTTTATTGAAGGTTTGAATTAAACCTTTTTAAAAATGCAGTTCTTAGCGAACGTCTCACACTTCTAAACGTTTTCGTCTTATCATGACAACATCAATGTTTTTTTTTTTGTTTTTCTTCCTACTTTTTATACTTTAAATAATGATACTAAACTAATTTCATTTTCTTTGAAAGTTGTCGAAGTCCTATAAATGAATAAGAGGGTATAATATATGCCCCAGAATACTATTACAATTCTTTGATTAGTTAGTAAAATATATGCAGTTTTGACACCGCTGCGCCGACTCATAATAATAATAAATACTCGTAACTTCGTACATCTCACACACGGCGGTCTGATCCTAAATTATGCAATGCCTGTATGTACCTACTATTGTAACCATACCGCTGATAAACTCATTACTGCTGATAAAATTGTGAAACAGTTTATTAAGTTTTTTAGTATTAACGACTTTTAAGCTTCCGCGTTACATGACATGTAATTATGTATGCATTCAGAAATTAAAACGTAATAGTATCTAATACATACCTTTGAATTCAAAGACAATAGACAATTGCCTATTGCGTGATTTAGTTAATTCCCATATACATACATTTCAATTCCTTCCGTTGGTTTAATTTGTTTTCATGATGAAATTTTTGTTATAAGCCTGTGACCACTAGGCTATACCTATTACGCTATCGCGCCAATTCGAGTACTGTTGCATAATTATATTATTATATTATTGTTCGCTTGTTTAAGTCAGTTTCTGAAACTATTAGTCAGGTTTGAAATTTTATTTAGATACAGAGTTCATTACGGAAGGTATGGGCATTTTAACATTACGCTACGACTCATAGGAACGGGGTAGTGGCCATTAACACAGGTAAAACTGCGGGTATGGATAGTAAAGAGTACGGTCAGAAGAATAAATTTTAAATTGAACAAAACATCGCCCTTATCGCACACGTTTTTACGCTTACGTAACGTTACGTTGTCACGCATATATACGGAACTTAATTAGTTATTAAAGGTGACATTGTACATACGTAATAGTAAATAAAGTGACATATGTTCTGCTGGTTATCTATGAATATTACTTTCCTCGGCGAAAGTAAAAGTATGACAGATACGGCATCAGTTTTCGTGACGCGCATCGTAAAAGTGAACGCAATTTTATTAAGGCTAATGAAGATGCCAAGCACTGATATTGTATGGATTTGCTCAGTGCCGGCTTAAGACAGCGCGGGGCCTGTAGCAAATTCTACCAAGGGCCCCTTGGGTTGTTTTAGGTTATCTAGTTTATGGTATTTATCATCATCCTCAACAGTCTATTGCTGGATATGGGCTTCTCCTTAGAAAGGAGATTTTTGTTTGCTATGCTACGCTGGCCAGACGGGTTGGTTATACCAGTCTCAAATTTGAAACAAACCCTACTCGGGCTTGTTTTAAGTTTCAAGAAACAAACCGTATAGTTTTTGTTTCAATTTGGAGACGTTGGCCCATGTCATGTGGTGTTGAACAGGGCTCTGGTCTTGGGCCCTCCTGTGAAACATAGGGTACGACTAGGCCCCTCGAGGAGACTTCCCCCCGTAATCTGTTACGACACTTTGGTTGTCTGTGGGTAGGAGGGGGACCTGGGGTGTCTCTTTGGTGGTTGGCTTATAGGTGGTCCTGGATAAGACATGAGCCTCTTATTTCTTGGGCCTAGTTGTAGTCCACCCCCTGGCGCGTCAATCGTGGTCATCTTGGTCAACGTACCGGTTCAGGCCCAGATGAAGGATATGGGCCTGATACCTGACGGGAGATTACTCTTCGATGAGCCCCTAAAACTGGTTCGCACTGCGTCTGCTCTTAAGTGACTTTTGCCTAACCAGCATCGTTTCAAGACAGCTGTACACGGGGCTGTCCAGTCAATGGCAGTGTACGGTGCCCCAGTGTGGACGGCAGTTCTGACCGCCCGGCATAGGGCGCGCATTCACCAAAATTATGTAAGTACTATGATTATGGATGTATTATCTCAATGTCTATTGTGCAGTTTGTGTTGTATGTTTACTATTGTGTCATTATTGATTTTTATTACCAAATGTTAAGATTTAATATTAATATTATTCTGGGTTTGAATATTAAAAGCATGTTTACTCAGCCTAATACAAAAAATGATTGCACGCCACTGTTAAAATAAGTCTGAGCTTATAAAACATATTTTATTCTGGCGCCCTTAGAGGGCATTGGCAGTTAGAACCATGGTTATAGCACCGTGTTGACGCCTGGCCGGAACACTCTCGTGGGATTTGGGAAAGAAGTGCTCGGCCCCCACCCGAAGAGGAGCGCGAGGGGCGTAAAGCCTCTCGCCGAGCCACGATGGCTCGTTGGTCGGTCCAGCCTGGAGGCTCCACGAGCTCGCTTTGCCGCCGTAGAGACACTCCAACCGGTCGTTGAGTTGAGGCCAATCGTTGAGTGGGCAGAGCGTCCAGAGCAGAGCAGGTTCTTTCTGGGTACGGCTGATTCTGCAATCGTTCGATAGGAGGGAATTGAATCCCGCCTGTCATCACTCCGATTGCAGTGAGCACACGCGCAGCGTTGGGTCGCAGTGCAAAACATAATTTTAGAAATGGACTAAAAGTTTAAATTTTTTACTTAACACATCACACACACGGCTGTATGTTTCCTAACTAGGCAGAGCCTGTACTATTCTAACCAGACTGCTGATAAACATACTTATATATTTCTCAATATATACATATTATAGATAAATTACACCCAGACATAGAACAAATCATCGTGCTTATCATACAATTATTTGTCCTGGGTGGGAATCAAACCCACGACCTCTGGCTTAGCAGGCTCACCAGCCACTAAACCAACAAGCCCGTCAAATTATAGTTTGACATTTAGATGCAACTCTTTCGTGATAAGAATTTTGGCTTTATTGATTTGAAAAAATATTTTCACACTTCGATCGAAATACGAGTAAGTAGGTACTTTTTTCCGGTCAGAAAGAGCGGGGCCCGTAGCATTTGCTACTCTTGCTACGTGGCTAATCCGCCACTGGATTTGCTAAATAAGAAATATCAGGCAGCGTTTTGTTTTGACATAGTTTTGCTATGTATTATAATATGGTGGCCGTTTTACATCCGTACACGTGGTAATATGACGTTGTACGTCAAAAGTAACGTACGAAATGAAATTGAAAATTGATTTAATTTAATGTTTACAATTTAAGATTAGAGGCAGCATCAAACGAAAGATAAAATATGCATTGCCCCGTCTTTAATTAAACCAAGATGTGCCATAAGATTCATAATACGCTAATCGACCTTGAAATAGCACAAATGTATCTTAGGCCTAAGTGCGAGTTTATTTCAATGTACTCGATCGTCACGGCGGTGAACTTGCACCAGGCCCTCTGAGGGCCAAGTGCGAGTTTATTCCACGTCCATTCGCTCGTCACGGTGACCGGTTGGACGTTGCGATAGGCCCGCACTAAAATCTCTACCAATCGCAAAGCTAAACGCGCCAACCAATCGCCGTCATAAGCGAGTCAAGTGCAAGTGCAAGTTAAGTAAGTAGTAAGCGAGTCGATGTGTATTTCACATCGACTCCCTTACTACTTACTTAACTTGCACTCAGCCCTCTGATCACCGTTGATGCTAGCGACTTGCCCCTACCACCTTGTGGTGCTGGCTTCGGCTATAAAAATGTCCCTCGTTTTAATAGCTTGAATATAGGTCGATTATGAATCACCATGAATCAGAATTCACTTGAACTCTCGTAAAAGTGGTTAAGAAACGTTTAATTTAGTAAAGCAATCTCCAAATGGTTTCTTCGTCTAAATGCCTGTCTTTATAACCTATACTGTATTCCAAGCTTTAATATGTAAGTATATCTACCGTCATAAATGTATATTATTTAACCTACAAAAAATTGTCTAGGGAAAAATCTTTGTGAACTAATATTACATCCCTTAATCTCTTGAATAATTGAATTTTCGAGTTGTTTATAGTTAACGGTTAGTAACTAACTACTACTGCCTTCCAAGTATACAGGGACGTCGTAACGAATTCTGAAATAGTGTATTCAGACCATCATTCTGAGTCGAAAACTGTTGGAATTTTCTGCCGGAAAATTCATCATTATTTTTTATAATTCTCCACTTTTGGTTAAAATCATGAAAAATGATATCACAATGCGCATACGGTCAAAAATTGCAATGTAATTAATTAAAAATGCCCCGGCCGCCAACTTGTGTTAGTATGCGTAGACTGTTTGCACGGAATACAAATGTAGTTATTACTTTTGTGCGATAGCTGTGGGAAATGACCTTAACCTTTGACAGCTGATTGCATAAAACGTTTAATTTGCTGGCAGAAAACCATACTTACCATAATTACCATGATTTTTGACGTAGAATGATGGTCTGAAAAACACTATTTTATTATTCGTTACGACGTCCCTTACACCCTGTATATGTGGAGACGTAAATTACTCTCTCCCCTCTATTCATTGCTTATTGTATGTTGCAAAATGCAACCATTCTCGGTTAGTTTGTACATAACGTGACAAACATAGATTGTACAGTTAAACTACCACCAACCAAGACCGATTTGAACGCCTTCTGCCCCATTCAGAGACGACGTCAAGACGTAAAAAAACTAACATAACCCTACATAATACATATAATTAACAACTAATATTAATAAGCTATGGATGGTCGGTTAAATAATCTTAATAAGTATAGACATAACAATAATAACAGTCGATATATAAGTAAGTATAAAAAAGTTTCTATTGAACAGATACATTAATCAGTTATAGTAAATTTACCAATATTTTTTAATGTATGTAAATGGTTGTGTTTACAATAAAGATAACATATTTTTCAGGATGCCCTATGGACATATCGATCGACATAGCTCTGGCCTTGGACAATAACCTAGTCTCAGCTATGTGAGTCGTCCGTCGCCCGACTTTAAAATATAAATGTCAAGCCATTAAATTACCTATTTAGGCAGCTTTTTACACGCTTTATATTAGCTTCACTTGTATGTTTGTTTGTATGTTTGTAACCGACTCCTTTGGGCGTGATATTGACTGACTTTAAACGGTCAGAATTCGTTCAAACTTTGTAGATATATCGAGGAAATAAATTTGAAAAAAAGCGTTGGGTGCCTGTTGTTATAGTAAAAAGCGAATTTATTTTCTATTTTTTAGTTTAGTTTTCTACAGAAAGCGTGTTTTTTAGTTTTTTAAAACTATAATTTTTTTTGTAATTCTACACTCATGAACTACTTAAAATTTAGTTTGATATTTAATTTAAAAAATAAATAAATACGTCTTCACACTGGCTGGCGAGTAAGGAAAGCCATTTAAAAAAATTAAATATAGGTAATTCCAGATTGGCAACTAATAATATGCCAAATGTATCGGTAATCGCTTATCCCATGTCTCAGTATTACAACACGAAATTCTTTATAGTCCATATTTTCATAGTCAATAAATGTTTTACACCGCATTTTATGACAGTTTTATTACTTTGATTCTTTTTGAACTTATACGACTTACATTTATACACATTAAAGTCAGTGTTTATTGCGTTTATGTACTAACTTAAGTAATATCAAAATAAATAATAAATAATTTTATTATATACATGTTTACGTGAAACGTTGGGTAGCCAAAAGAGTTTTGTAACGAATTATTATATATGTCTATTGCGATTTTAATTCTAGTTATTTATGGTCATCGTCCTATTTAAAAGAGTTTACCTTATATTAATACGGAATATTATATAAAAAAATGTTATATTCACTCACCTCTCTGTACCGGCGACAAAGTCTGTGACTTCTTAGTATTTGGGATAACTTTGCTTTTCGCAGTCGTGACTAGAGTGCTAAAATTATCAACAAATATAAATACAATCAGTACAATATAAAGTTAGTAATAACGAATATGTACATAAACATAATATTTTATATCGCTGTAACACACTCAGATTAATAGCCTTTACAAATTTTATTGTTGTTAAGAGGCGCTAAGATAGCCAAATTGGATGCAGTAACTACAGTTACAGTGAAAACATAAAAACATTAAAACTTGTGTAAAACTTTTTTTTTTTACACAGACGTGTTTCTAACATTTCCAATTAATTTATTCCTAAATTATGTAATTATTAGGTCTCACAGACTTTTTTTTCGTGTACGGTACTCCCCTTGGATACCACCCACCAGTGAGGTAGTTATGTCGGGCTCGAACCGACCAAAAACCGTCTCCGGGTACCAGTAGCTGGGGAACCAGATATACCCTAGAAAGGAAAGCTCGGGTACCCCGACGTAACTCGGGCCATCTACGGCTTATAGATGACCCTCTCCTGTGTGAGTACCCCGGTATTCACTTCCTGCCTCCGAAGAGCGTGCGCGCTAAGTACCTGAGTTGCACCTTATTACCGTTATTTCAAAATGGGATTTAGAAAAATGACCGCTCACCCATGCTCAAGTGATGCGCGACTATACTACATATACTTGACTAGGTAACTTTTTAAGTATTGCGGTATGTAATATGATTTTAAATGTTAGCAAGAAATATTAACTCCATCTAATGCATAAATACGAGTCATTGACTCAAAACATTTTTAATTTGATGTAAGTACCTATCCTATAATTTATCATATACCTTGGAAACAGTCCCACTTCTAATGTCCTTTGATTCTGTCCCTTCCACCAATGTAACTCAGGTCTTCTATCTATTAAAATTATTGGGTCGCCAGCATCTATTGTCATTTTACTCGGCCGCCGGTAGCTGTCAGAGAAAGTACACAATTAGAAAGAATTGTGTTTTCCACATCTAATGTGAGCACAGACAACAATGACATATTGACGCAAAATAATGTTTTTTTTACATTCACATAATTTGAATACAGTTCAAATTGCTGTTGAAATGCGGTACGTGTGCATATGGAATGGGAGATAAGAAGTGTGAATTACAGCCACAGCTGATAGAAGTCGGTTAAAAATACACTAGCCAAAGCTTACTATTTTTTTTAATCTGGACTAATGTTTGACTGACGTCAAAAAAGTAAGGTGCCCAATTTACCTGTTTTTAAATTTGTCCTCTCAGAACTGTCATTTTAAAACCGATTTGAAAAATACTTTTTTTTTAATATGTGCCTCCCCGTGGGGTCGCACTCAAAATTGAAGAAAAGATTCCATCCCTAAGAGTGAAAATTAAAGAATGAAGAATACATTTTATTATAAAACATCTAGATGTGGTGCATTGAAATCGGTGTTTACAAGTTAATTATGTAAAAAATAATATTAATAAATACCTCAGAGCAGAGATGGCCGTTTCAAACTTGTTAGTCGCCATATACCGCTGTATGCCAGCAAACGTCGGCCTTTCCTTTGGGTTTAGATCCCAGCACTGCATCATTAACATGTACACGTCAGGAGGGCAAGCATTCGGTGCAGTGAGACGTTGGCCTTCGCGCATTATTAGACGTAGAATCTCTGAACCGTTTAAACCTGAAGGAAGTCATGCAATCGTTATTCGCGTTACGTATTCAGAATTAATTAACAAATTAAATTAACACATCTTTATTACAGACATATCTGCTATATAAAAATAACTGCTACAGTAGCGAATATTACAATGCTGATATGTATATTACTGCCACTTATGCAATTTTTTTTAATCTAAATCAGAAATGCGGAACTAGTGTTCGTTCTTTCGTTATCAATCGTTCTCTCTTTCCGATCATAATAGGAAAAAATTAAGGGCATCGACAAACAGTGGTAAACTGTTCTGGATAAAAATGTAACGTGATAAGATTAAAAAAATCGTTTTCTGGTAAGAAAATATATTATCCTTGATTTTATAAAATTGAAGGAAAGGTGATCATTACAATTATTAACAGAAGCACATATTACAGAAACTACTAGATGAAGGTATTTTGCTTATAAGGAAGTTTTGTCAGCAACGGTAGTAAAGTAACGTAATGGTAACAGAAAAAAAAGAAATTTTCGAAAAACTAATTGTTTCCATAAAGTCGTTCTGATGGCTTAACTGTATGAATTCTAATACAAAATATTTGAATCTATGTCTAATTGTAGACATCTTTTCTTTTTTAAAAAGACAACTCCCGCATTAGGAATATATAATGTGTCGGGCGGACTTTACAAACATACATGACATGAAACGGACACAAAGAACACCCAGATTCAGAACAACAATTTGTGGATCTCACAAAGCGGAGTCCCATGTGGGGGTCGAACCCACAACACTCAGCTTAGTAGGAAGCAGCGTAGCGACGGCTTAAACCACTACGCCAACCGTGCAGCGGATTTTTTTTTTGTGATCAATCTTTTATTACAAAGATAGCAAACCAATGTAATAGTCAATATTGCTGTTCAAAAACTGCAGACCTTTAACAGGTGGATGTGTGAATTTCACTTTTTGTTACTATTAAATATGTTGAAATGTATAGGCGTTGACTGTGGTATACACATTTATGTGTTATTTACTTAATAGATAGTACAGTTTACAAAAACAAATTTAATACAATTAAATTACACAATTTAATTTACACTTCTTACCTATCCATGGCTCTTCTCCAAAAGTATACATCTCCCACAGGGCAACAGCAAACATCCACACATCAGAGGCATGAGAGAACTGTCTGCTTCGTAAGGATTCTGGAGCACACCAAGGGAATGGAACACGACGACGCTCGCTCATCACATAGCAATCATCGGCATCTGGTAGTGCTCTCATTAGACCAAAATCACCTATTTTCACCTGTCACAAACAATACTTCATTCAGTGATAAGACAATGGCTATGTAAGTGGGTCAAGACTAATTTGACAAGGTTAAATAACTTGTAAGGTTTTTAGGTCTAGAGGCCATGCTTATGTTAAAAGCTATAGTGATAAAAATGATATAACTCTCATTCTAATTTTCAAAACTTATTTGTGTTCGTGTTCAAATTCAACATTTAATCTCTATTAGACTAACATAATAAAGCTACATCATTTTTTATTTAGAGCATTTATTGAAAAAATATGCTATTGTAACATAATGCTACAGCCCTTTGGAGTGGAGTAGTAAGCATAAATGTAGTGACAGCGGGGAATGGGTAGCGCCAAATATATGAAATAATTATATTGTGACTATCCTGAAATTATCCTATAAATAGATAATTGATTACTATTGCATTAGGTAATATACCTGTAATAATAGTTGCATGTGTGTAAAATAAATAATCAAAATAAAGATAGTACTATTAATGCAATTTTGCATGAAAAGTAATATCCTAGTTACTTAAAACTAAAAGCAAACAAATTGTAAACTTACCAGTTCCAAATTAGATAATAATATGTTTCTACATGCTAAATCTCTGTGTAAGAATCTATGTTTTTCTAGATGTGCCATCCCAGCAGCCACTTGCTCAGACCATTTAGATATGTAACCTAAGGACACTTTGCCATTTTGTGCTCTAATGTAATCTAACAAAGCACCCATGGTGGCCAATTCACAAACCATCATTAAAGGATGAAACACAACACCATGGAGTTTAATAAGATTAGCATGTTTAAGGCTGTGCATAGCTTCCACTTCTCGTCTAAAGTCATCATATATGCCGGGCTGAGTAAATGCATCAGCCTTTAACACTTTCACTGCCACTGGTACTGTTTGTGATGATTGGTCAGATATTTTCCACTCCCCTCGTTTTACAACACCAAATGAGCCAGTACCAAGCTCATTATGTAATCTGCAAGTTGTAATTTTTATTCAAACATTTAATAGTAAATAGTATTTAATATTCTATAAATAGAGATTATTAAACTTACACTATATCCTTTTCCAAAATAATACAAGTAGTTCTCGTTTCAGCCTGTGGTGTTTGTTTCAGAGACAAGTCAGTTTTTTCTTTGGATACTGCGCTAGATGAAGAGCCAAATAGTTTGTTCCAAAACTTTCGGTTCCATAGCTGCAACTTTTTTTTTCTTACAGCATCAAAAAGCCTGCGGACCCCAGGTTTACTGATGCCTAATTTCTCGAGGTCTTCAGCATGCACATAATCAAAATGCGCTAATCTGGTTATCTAAAATATTTTGTAAGCGAATTTGTAGAGTAGAAATATCAATTAATACTACCGTTATAAATTACCTTTAAAATTATAACTTATGAAAGAAGCCTCTGCATAAAGTTTTATATGACTAATAGAACTAAATTACAAAACTTTTATATTAAAAACTGTTAGTAAATAGTATGATTTATTGTTTACCTGTAACTGATCTCTGATTGGTGAATAAAACTGTTCAAGTTGAACGTTCTGCAAGATCTCACATAACCAGTCGGTGCCCGAATCCATTTTCAATTATTCTTTGCTAAACTTAGGATAAAATAAACGCATCTCGAGCAGGAAGTAGTTGTTACGAAGGAAGTGTCCGAGTGGTTGTTACTTCATAAACCAGGATAATACTTACAAATTATTAATATGAACTCATTTACACTTAGGGATTGTATGTCAGAAGGAGATTCAAGAAATACATAACCTAATAAATCGTCATGATTACGATATTATGTCTTTGAAATTCGATAATTTCAGTTTCGCAAGTTTATGTACGACAGACATCAATCACACAACCAAACCCAGACAACTTCTATTTACCCGTTTATGACAGTTCTTTTTTCTAGTGTTGCTATATTTTATCAGCATCGCATAGTTTTGGAATTTTTACTAAATTTTTTTATTTTTCTATGTGATTTTTATTTTATTGTCGAACGCTTTCAGTTTATATAACAGGTAGTTTTTCAACATAATAATAATTTATTATCATTTATAAGACACTTTTCTTACTTCACATTAATGGTGCATGGCATTTTGTCAGAACGTTTTGCATAGGCGTTTATTAATGTTTTATCTGTTGTGCACACTGCTTACATTAAAGCAGAGTAGCTCTGACAGTAGAGGCAAATTCAAATTAATGTTCTATGTTGTTTATTATTCCAACATAGTTTCTCCTTGTAGATACTAAATACGTACGTATTATTTATGTTTGCGGAAATAAAAATGCAGGACTCTGACGATAATCTAACTAAAGTAAAACTAATAGATTTCGGTTGTATTCCTGTGGATACTGCTATGGAAAAATGCATTACGGTTGAAAATACTTTTGAGGTAAGTAAAATATATTATATGTATTCAATGTTGTTATTAATAATAAAATCTTTTTATCGTTGTAGAAAATCTTATCGTACCGGGTAACTAATCTCTACATATTAAATAACGTCGATCGGGTATTTAATATTTCAATCACTTCGACTCCCGTGGATCCGGGTCATTATGCAAGAGTGAAAATTATATTTAAGCCGAATGTCGTCGGACAGTCCTTCACTGAATATTTCTTAATAGATGATACTGCTGGTAATAATTACCGGTTAACAGTCACTGGAAAATGTTACGGTAAGATAATTTACGTGTAGTTTATTATTGACATTATAGGTATATTAATTATGATACACAAAATGTAGAGATAGTTCAGAAGATAGTTATAAGAGGGCAATTAATGATTAAGATATGAGAAATGCAAAATGATCTGCTGTATTCTCTATATAACGAATTATTTCAATTTACGGTAAGCGACGTTCAGTTCTAATAGAAAGGAAGGAGTTTATCCTTATGAGTAATTTCATTCTAGTAGGTTCTGGAAATAAATTTACCAATGTTCAAGGCAGCCAGGATGATTCAAAATGTCCCAAGGTAATTGTCCAACCAAACGTTGTTTCATTATTTAGCCTTTGAATCAACCGACGAACTGCTGCTTTTTCTACAAATGAGTTACATATTAGCGTGTTACTATAGCAGACTAGGATTTAAAATACCTAAATAAAAAAGACAAATATTTCCAAAGGTATAGTAGTTGTTAAAGCTCACGGTAAAGGATAAAAAAACAAATAATTAATCTTTCTTACCCTTTCAATGTGAGTCAGTTAATCGAAAGCGTCATGAAAATGCTTTAGTCGGAACTTTGGCATACCCTTGACCTGACTAGCCGCCCCTTCGAGATGGAGCAACTGGATGGGTCGATTTATGCCATTGATGATATTGAAAAATCAGGTAGTCACACCTCCCTCATTCCTCACTCAATTATAAGAAACACTTTCGTACAAATTTTAATGCAGGACCTCAAGTTTCCCTTGATAAAAAAAAAATAGTGTTCAGAGTATGCAAAAATTTAAGGGAGCAAAGGAAAGAAGTAATAAACATAGTAAATAATTCAGCTGTCGATACGACGTATCAGTGGTATATACCCGTCTGTGGTCAAGGATATTTTCAAGTAAGTATTTGGCAAAGTAAAAAATATTTATTCAAATTGCACAAAATACATAATAATATCTACTACGAGCATATGAATGAAATCCTGCATGAGTAAAAAAGGAAAACAGTATAATTATCCTCACTCTCGATTGAAATGGTTAAATAAAACCGGTCAAAGGCCACGCGCATTATAGTGTTCAGTTTCGTTTTAAACAAGAAACATTGTCATCTAATGATTTTGCACAACATTTTCCAAACAGATAACTGAATCGATCGCTGAAATGATACGGGGTTCTTGTTAGGTTTAAGGTACTCTAAACAGTGGACCAAGGCGGTAAAACGAATTAAGCGGCCTAACACATTCATCGTCACTACACTAGTTCCCAATGTTTCAACTCATACTTGCTGAAAATTAATTCAATCCTACTCCACTAAATAAAAAAAAAACATCATCATTAAGGGCATATCCCTCAATTGGTGACCTTATTGTGTACAAATTGGGAGTAAATACGTGGCACTTGCCTTTTTTAAGTCTGATACAGATGGGTCCTATACTGCTAGGTGTAGTTTTTTTTTGTTTCAACACCCCCTAAATCAATACCTTCTAGATTAAAACTCAATTTTACATTTTAAACACAAAGTGAAAACCTTATGTTTCTTAATATATATTTAAAAAAAATATTCCATTAAAGATATTCTTCTGATAGATATCAACCGGGAACTGTGGTCTTATCACAGCTTTCGAGACGATTTCGACAACAGTGTTGTTCATCGGTACCGCATTGGGTGTATATACTGCGGAATTAGTATGCCTGGTTCTAAATCAGGTAACGTATAAATAACTATGATATAGAATATTTAATCTATATTTTCTCTTACCTATTTGGTGAACTTTGTACGTGTATACCCACTCCAATGATATTTTTATACAAACATAATTTCAGGAACCTTTATTCCTAAATGTGTTTGGAACGGTAGTTCTGCCAGGCAATCCTCTATTTAATATTCAAGATCACATGTTCGAGAAAAATTGGAAGCGTAAATCTCGTTCCGTTCACCTTATGGAGAATAGTCTTAACCGTTTAACTTATATACCATCAGCTTCTGTCTTTGAACGATACCTTGATTTTGGTATGGGTAGTGTGGATGATATTACAAAAAATATATCTCAAACTATTTGCGTAACTAATCATGAACAAGAGGAGGGTCATATACAGTGGATGCCAGGTTTGTACTGATTTTTTTAAATTGTAAAATATGTCTGTTCTCCCAGTAACAGACTGAACTACCGCATAAAACAGGACAATTAATTAAATATCACCCATCACATCATGAACCATTCTTATAATTATGACCTTTAAATAGTATTTGGCTGAGAAAGACAAGGGATTGGCGTACGATCTAATCCCTCACGTACACGAATTTTGTTAGAGCTTTCAAAAACGAAATGTTTTGAATAATTGACACACTTTTAGTAGATTTACTGATGTAGTTCAATAATATTATAATATTAGGACAAACATGTAGCTACCTGTTACAGATCCAGATAGCATATTTTTAGTCGATCCCATTGCTTCTGCTTTACCTCCAAATGAATCTAGACTTTTCACAGTAAGATTCAGGTGAGTCATTAACTCATGCTTAATGTAACTATCATTTAAAATATTTAGTCTTCATTTTTAAAATAGGACAATAAATTTTTCTACTCTTTGATCTCTCATCTCGTTTCACGGGAAGGATTTTTCCAATCAGGCGACTCCATGTAATTCACTCTTGTGCGTCGTATTCGCTAAGGCTTAATATTTTCATATAACCCCCGACGCCGATTTTCCTTTTGTCTGTTTCATGGCCATGGAAAAGCACGTTTTCACAGTGTAATTACCTGCTTTACAAAGAAAAGAGGAAACTATTTAAATTAGTAAACCTATTAATTACTATCTTCATATTTTTATAAGAGAAAACGATTTGCAAATATCTCTTTTTTCTCTCACTGTAAAATATAACATTGCAATTTATTTGTATTAAGACCTAAAGTACACAACGAATTGTATGGCTACCTGCTATGTGGAGACTATCAGGTTAAATACTTTCCTAACGAAGATTGTGACATGAAGTTGAGACACACCTGGTTTCGGATACCCTGCACTGGTAATACGTGGGCTCCTTGTACGGAATGGTTGACTGAATTCGATTGTCCTATCGAGGTAAATATCTCGTGATCATTATCTATATCATATCTATCTATCGTGTCTATGTTATGTGTACCCATATATACCTACCAATCAAAATTTTCATATAACTGGTACATTTACACATGGGTTTAGGAAACTCTCTAGGAGTAATGATTAAAAAACATTTGTTTTTATGGGTCTCACTTAAAACTGAAAAATGGGCCCATTTAATTTTAAATTATTTTATTATACTCTTATACTGAATTATACTAATTATTATACTAAATATAAAATTAATTAATATAAATAAATTTAGACTGTAACTAATTTTATATTTAGTGTTGAACAGTTATGGTAGATACGTTCTCGGAGAGACTGGATGTCGCCTATTTAGATAGTTAATAAGAGAGGGGCGCACTCTGTAACCGCAATAATTTCCATCACTAGCGGCGCTGATAGTAGGTACGAGGACCCCTTTTCATTGAATTCTTTGAGATTTTAGTCGGTTCAATTCCGACAAAACCGCAGTGGCGCTGACGGCGGGACTTTTACTAATATGGCCAAGAAGGTTACTTTCGGGTTGGAGATCTGTAATGTTTTAATTTCGAATTAACTATAATTACATAACTTTAACACATTAAATTAAACATCAAACTTTAGAGATACTATTATGATTTTCAGAACGGAACCTCTGTTTAATTAGCCTTTGTTCAGATAATATAATGAATGGAATTGTTATTTCAGTTTTATCACTAAAAAGAATAACTTTAATTACACATCATAAAAAAGATTAAGTACAAAGTAATCTCTGGTCCGTGGTGTCTGTCTGTATGATTGCTTGTCACTACTATGAAGAAGAAATTAGTTTTTCATTCTGTTGCTTTCTTTAGGTAATTCTGCCACCAACAGTACCTACGAGAACAACATTTTCCAACTTTATGCTATCAAACAAATTTGAAGTACCAATGCACTTCAAATTTGATGCACCTCAAGGGTCGTAAGTATTTCTTACATCGATTGTAAAATAGCCAGCGTGTAATGTAAACATCACATTATTTGTTTTTTTAAACTAAAATTTATTTCACCGTATCTTTGTTTCACTTCATTTACTATCTTTAAAGCAACATCTGAGCAACATCAAAAGCCTTTTTAAAATGGTCATGGTCCTGTTTATAGCTGTAAGGCCGGTTACAACCAATAAAACCAATCCGTTTCAAATGAAAAAAACCGTTTTAAACCGAAATTAACCATTTTTTTGATTTAAAACGGTTGGTGTTGACTACGACTATGTTTTTCTTAGTTATAACTACATTTCTTTATTTTACCAAAGTATGCATATGACGGAGTACCTATAAACTGTGTAAAGATTTTTTATTTGTGTGATATACTGATATTGATATACTAATCAATTTGATTCGGTTTAAAACCAAACTCACACTTGCATTCGCGCGACGGCCTTAAAGACATAACGTTGTCTCTTTCATAAGCAATTAAAACGGACGGCATTGTGCTAATGATGTCTTCTAATCTAGTGTGTGTAATATAATATAATAAATAAGTAAAGGTATACCTACAATCTTAAGTTTTCGTGTAGTAGGTAATGTAGGTAGGTACTTTCTATTGATATTCTATAAACTAATTAAAACGAAACATTTGCCCACAGTGAAATATAAAACACAATTCTTTTATTTCTGTAGGCGAGATTTCAACCGTTTTAAACGATTTATTTTGGGTTTTAAAACGGCAACATTTTATTTAAAACGTTTTAAATCGGTTGTATTACATCTATACTCGTGATCTCACGAATGAAAAATTATTGATATCGAAAAATACATACGTTTTGCGTTAGAAGTTCATTTTTTTTTTGGTAACTACCAAGTTACCAAAAAAAAATTTAAAGGCCCCGTCCGCACAGCGATATTCTGAAATTCTGTGGAAATAAATCGCCATCGTATCACGTTCATTTTTTGCGGGATTTTTTTTTTCTTGACAATACACGATAGCCAGTCTATATTAATAATGACAGTATGGTTAGCGGTGGGAGAGCCAATTTAAGCAATTTTATCGTCGCTTTTCACCTAGTGAGTGAGATAACCGAAGGCAAACCGCTTTTACCCCGGCTTCTGGGGGGTGGGTTGGGAGCAGGATTTAAAAGGGCAGCAACGGACTTGTTACTAATAAGTTGCAGGTGTCCATGCGCGGTGGTAGTTACTTACCCTCAGATGACCTGCCTGCTTGTTTGCCCTCCTATACTATAAAAAAGAGTACATATTAAACATCTTTGATTGGAGTTAAGAAAAAAGTAATTTCTGGTTCCAAATTCATTTATTTCTCTTTTAGCAATTTTGTAGTTATGCCCATGTGTGGCATTGTGCCCGGTCGAGGTTGGCAAATTATATCAGTGGCACTGGAGCCAAGATGTTTAGGCGATTATTGTGAGACCTGGGATTTACTCATTAACAAAGTTCAGAAGGTTAGTGAAATGGGATGTTCCTGTCTATTTTTAATCGAATTTTATTGAAATATAAATCCAAGTCATCATCATCATTTACCTGCTCTCGTGCTAATGTTGTGGGGCCAGCGCATTTTGTAAAATTGCTTTAATAGGGTTTTGACTGGTTTCTTTTATGGCCGGTCGTCAGCCTGGGACTACCGGCCATAAAATACCGAAAATTAACTGCCTACCGAAAATTTATCGAATAGGCGAACGTGACTGATACTGCAGCAGTTCAAAGATACCAGTGTCGTAGACATATATTTTTGTCCTCTGATTAGATAGGTAGGTACGTCAGCAGGACATCGACTAGCATTCAAGTGTCAAATCCAACTACGATATCCTTTTCTGTTCCAATAATGGAAACTGAAACCGAAAAACAGTAAAAGAAATCTTTTTCGTTTCAAGTCCCGTATTTGTTTTACGGGTAATGCGGAGGTCAGCCATATTGAAGTCATGTCGCATGGTTACAACCCTGCCACGCATGCAATGCTGGAGTTTCCACCAACTATTACTGGATGCACCAACTACATTACGTCTTATCTACATAACCTTACTAGGATGGAAATACAGTTCGTACAGAAATCTTTCTAAATAAAATAATATTCAATCTATATTAAGTATTAATAAAATATAGGTAATTTAAAAGTCTTATACGTATAGTAGCAGTGATCGTTTTCGTATCGTATATTTATTAATAACATCTTGACTTGTGATTGGCATGCACTATCATTGGATAGTTAACCTTATCATTAAACCTTTTCAGCATATTTTAAAAGACCATTACTACTATACGTTTCTTTATAAAAAAATATTTTTAATTTACTTAGTAGTGTAATTATGGTTACACAATTGTAAACTCGTGTAATGTGTTAAACAATAAAAAATATATAAAAATTCCTATGCACCAAATTCTGGAATATTTGGTTTTTCACAAAATATAACTGAAAGGAGGTGGAAAAAATAATACATGGTGTTCAAAAGTAAATTTCGTTGCCTGATTTTCATTATTAAACAACCGTCTCTTGTTATATGTATGCCAGAGACTTGAGATTTGGTACATATTGTATGAATTCAGAAATACAAATTTTGAAATTAGGAAAAAAAAATTATTAAAACATAGCGCAAATTCATCTTCAAATCAATATATTATCACAAATAACGAGTGCGACTGCTGTACTGAGGACTCGGGTTCGATTCCCGGGTCGTACTAAATACTCGTACTTGTATGATCTGTAAATATTTATTTCGGAGTTAAGATTTTTTCTTTGTAGGTAAGTATAACTTTGTATGTATTTACAAAAGAAAGTATGTAAGTATTCTATCAGTCAATCTAGTTTCATAGTAAAAGCTCCGCTTAGATTGAAATTAGATCCCGTTGTCGCGAGATGTCAAAAAAATATTATTATTATTAAATACAATGAAATCTGTTTGACTTTCAGCGTGAGAGTCCTTAACTTTGTTCCATGGCTTGGTGCTGATTTCAATGGTTCCATAGTGTTACCTCCTAAAGAGATTGTAAGCTATCATTGGTGGTTCTTTCCCAAAATACCTGAGAAGGTTTACGAAACTACCATAACACTATCATGTGTGTGCCTAATAAATGGCAGGTAACTATCAGTTTGACTTTTGATGGCATTGCTCTAGATGGTTTAAAATTTAAATATTCTGTAAAATTGTAAACACTTTTCAGACCAGTCGGAGAACCGACAGAGGTTTATATACACGTTTCTGGATTTTCCGAATTTCCCGACTTAAAGGTAGGGAATTTATTGAACTTTTTTTTTCCTTTTGGAAAAGTTTTCGTGAGGTCGCACTATTATTTAGATCACAGAAGTATAGTATACGCTATAATCAAAATATATATAATTATTGAAGATGTCTTTTAAGTACATATTTTGTGTTAATTTATCCGTTTATTAATTTGTAATTGAGCAGCATTGTCAAATCAGACATAGTGCATGGCTAAGTAAATAAAGAGAAAAAATAATAACAATTAGCTTATAACTATAAAATATTATTACCATTATCATCAACAGCCTTAATAGTCCACTGCTGGCCCACCTTAGAAAGGAGGTTTTATTCAGACAGGCAGGGTTTGTGTCAAGTTTTCCGTCTCTTTACAGTGCTGTTGTAAAGCGTAGATTTCTCCATTAGTCGGCTCTTCGTTTAGTCGGTTGTGATACTCCGTATTCTAAATCCGTCACCACACGGATATATAAAATTATTATTTGAAAATAAAACAAAACAACCAACAATTACACAATTGCATATGACATTTTTCATGAACATTCTCTACCTGATCGATTTAATACATATACTCCCAGTGAGTCTGAGTGAGAGTGAGTTTTCATGGACGGCGGTAGCTACTTATCATCGGGTGAACCGTCTCAACCGCCTGCTCTTTTGCCCCCATTTCAAATTTAATGTTTCTTTAATTACAATGTTCATATGACAACTGGGACTATGTACTTATACCACTTTTTGTTTTCTCTATGACAGGTTTTACCTAAAGAAACAAATCTGCACGACATAGTTGTTGGGGAAAGTAAGACGTTCTCTATAACATTGTACAATAACGGTTCTTGTTTTTTTACATCAAAACTGTACCACCTTATCAGAGGTAATGGAGATGATTACAGTTTTGATAGATTCGAAATTGATTCTACTGTAGTAAGTGTTATCTACACACATTTGATTTGTTGTCATTACTTATTAGTGGATATAGTAGACATTTTTGGCCACAGAGGTTGGAACTCGCGCTTTCCGAGGTACTCCGACATTTTTGGTAACCTCCTTACCTAACTCTTGAAACGATACAGCATTTATGTTTTCGTCTGCTGATATGAAAGATTTTCTCTAATATATAACTAACTTTTCTATTGTAAATAAAAAATAAGAATAATTTAGTCTCAATATTTGAACTATAGAACAGCTTAAAACCATCTAAATATTGTGAAGTAAAAATGACGGTTACTCCTAATGGTGCTGGACCAAGAGAAATAGTTATCAAGTATGTGGTTCTTTTCCGAACGGAATTTGACGAGATTAAGGAAATACAACCTGTCGTTAAAAAGATTTGTACAATTTGGTACGATGGGATCTACCCTACAATGAAGGTTAGTGTGTAGAAATTTCTTATTAGTGAAGACTTACTTATTTCTTACTTTTTAGTGTTAATGACAAAATAATCATCGTAAATACCAAAAAATAGCGTGGGGTGCTTTTGAAGATATTTTATAATATAATAACTTAACTTTTACCAATATCTGTCAATAAAATATTTTTTACAACAATTAAGATCTAGCCACCACGCATTTTTACGTTAAAATGATTTTTCTTCTTGAAGTTATAGAAACAATTTTCTACTTTTCAGTTCGTCTAATTACAAAAGTGTGTTTTTCAGTTTTTTAAACTTTAATTTATTTAGTGGAACTTTATTTAGTATTCTATGCACAACACCCTCGCTGCAGTTCCTTTAAACTCGAAGTGAACAAAATTCGATTGCAGTTAAACCTGATGAGTTTATTTGTTGAATGATCTTTCAGGTTAAGCGAACTATAGCCGTGAAATGTCCAATAATTTTAAGCAATCACGATGTCTGGAATATTTTCAATGTTGATGAGTAAGATTCTTTCACACTAGTATGAATCGAAGAGATTGTAAGAGATTAAATCTTGATTTTGAAACATCCGTGCACTTACTCGTATATAGATATAGGTGTACATGCTGCGCACGATTTAAATGCAGTTGCATGCATGCATGCACCACAGCCTGAAGAAAAAGTCAAATTCTTTCCCCGCCGGGCACCTTCGCCTCGCAGTTTAGTAACTTGCTTACATGTCAAAAGTTGACTTTATTGAGGATCGGCAGAGCAATTATGCTTACTTGTAAATATAAGTTAATTATTATTTGTTACCATCCTTTTAATTAAAGTTAATTTTCCACAGATTAAACAAAGCTTTTGTAGATTGTCGCCCAAAAATACCTTTGACAGTAAACCTTTACGCTCCCGACCTATGCGTTCGCAGTGGTAAATCGAATCACGTGCAAATTATATTCGTTTTGGGATGCATATACGGGGCTCCAGTACCTTGGAACCTTCGCAGAGAGAAGATATGTGATTGTGAAATGATTGAGGTCCAGATAGGGACATCACTTTATGAGATGAGGCATACTTGTAAACATAGGTCGTATGTGGAGCTGTATCCGTTAAGTGGAATTGTTTCGGTAATTCATAACGCTCATATTTTTATAAGTGTAAACTTGACTTCACATCTGAGGGACACTTCCGTTTCCTTTCTGGCCCGGAAATAATATAGGAATTTATAACAAAAAAAAGAACTAGTATTATTTTTATTCCGGTAGGTAGTCTTATAACACGCTTTTTTAATGTAACCATACTTTATAAGCACAAGGAGTAAATTTGGTCCTTATAAAAAATAAGGATTTAATAAAACTATTTATTTAAGGACCGCAAGGTTACTTTGTTTCGATTGTTTTAGGCTTGCTTTCATTTTGCCTATTGCTACAGCCGTGCAGCCTAAACAAGTTAACACTCATCTCCTAAATAAATCGAAACCTGTTTCAAAACATGTGATTAATATTTAATGTCACTTATTCGATTTCAATTAATACATGACAAAACAGTTTCTATGTTAACAGTTACTACGGTTTTAGTACATACAATTATATTTTACAGCGCGATAACCCCAACCTTCTATATCTTAACTTCAATTACATTGCCGAGGGTTTGAATACCCTGTGTTACGTCATGACAATGCCAAATGAAAGGACGATTTATTTATACGTCAATATATTAGCTACTTTGAACACAAGAAGTGTGTTAACGCCCCTGCGTAGGCCAGTCGGTGTAGATGAATACATTGCGGTTCTGGACTGTGGAAGAGTACCTATTAACAACTTAGATCCTGTTATACGGGTAAGTATAGAGGTCTGACGGTTTGTTATAATGTATGTAACACGAATTTTTACTAATTTATCACACTTTACTGACAGGTCAATTCATTTGGACGTCAGTCAGTAAGGTATGATAAAATAGTAAAAAAATGATGAATTTTTGTAAGCAATCTGTTTTAATTACATGTCATTTTATTGTATTACAGATAGGAAACAACAATTCACTAAACAAATTTAAATACAAATTCATCACGAAAACCTACTTTGGACTTATAGAGATTAATGTCTAAAAATTTTCATCACATGTATTATAAAGCTTTCGGCACAGAAAACTAGTAATATGCGCCCATTCCTCACCCAGTTTCGTACTTATTTACACTTTACATAAATTAATAGAAACAAGTGAAGCCTTACAGAAGCCATCTGAATGGCAACTCTAGTACTGCACGCCATCATCATTTACTCTTTTTAAAAAGATCTCCCGCATTAGGAATACATCCTGTGTCGAGGGGGTCTTTTCAAACATACATGAAACGGACACAAAGAACACCCAGAATCAAAACAACAATTTGTGGATCACACATTGTGTCGTTCCATGTGGGGATCGGACCCACAACACACAGCGGCGTGGCTACCGCTGAAACCACTACGCCATCCGTGCAGTCAAACTGACTATCATATACTTATTATAGAAAAACGGGAGGAAGGATGTCACACACCAAAAAAAATTTTCAGGTTGTATGGCTGTACAATCCTACCGACGTTTTTACAACTTGGCGACTGGTACGTGGAAATGCCAAGGAATCTAAAGATTCATCAATAGCAATTCGTTGTTTGCTATACTTCGCAGAAGTTCCGCCGCTTGGCAAGTTAGCCATACCTGTTGCCTTTATACCAAGTGAAATGATTGATTATGAGGTACGTGGATCTAATATCGACCGTCATCGAGAGGTCGTTCTTTGATTTTCACCCAGGATAAATAACTGTATCTAATGAGCACGATTTTTTATTCAATATCTGAATGAAATCTGTAGGTATGTTTATCAGCAGTCTTAATTACTAAAGTACAAGTTCTGTCTAATTTGAGATGTGACAAGTTCTTTATAAAAAATGTTGGTTAATTAATCTAACCCTTTAGAGCAGGTTGGTGTTTGAACAAACTTTGACCAACCTGCTCAAGTAATGGTTTTGGCTTCAGTATAATTTATAATTATGTTTAGGCAGAACAAGACTGTCGGGTCCGCTAGCTAATTAATGAACATTATGACTCTACTGTTGGAATTTATCCTAGACAACATGACAATACGCTGAATATTTTTCACGTCATTAAATAAATAATTTTAAACAGGTAATATTGTTATCTTCGTTCGGATACGATACAGTAAAAATATTAATAAAAGGACAAGGAGGCCTACCAAATTGTCTCGAGACTCGGCTCGATCTCCCATATTATACAGAGAGGGTCATCAGAGAAGCTTATCGTAGAGAAGTAGTAAGTTACGTTATCATAATTAATAAGGGTTATTATTAAACGACTAGATTTATTTCATACTGAAAATTGAAGTAATTTAATATAAATTTAAGTAGATCTCCATAGTTGTGTTGTCATTAAATACCTACCTAATCACCATTTCTAACCGATATCAAAAATACAAAAGAGGAGGTTATCAACTCGTCTATTTTTATTTTTTTATTTTGTATGTTTGTTAGGCGATTGTTGACCGCTTTTTAAAATTCTTTTTGTAATCGAAAGAGTATGCTCCCGAAGTGGTCCCATTACCACTAAATCAGGATCTGATAATGGGGTCCTAGAAAAATCGAGGGAAACCCTCAAATTTTACAGCCTCGACAACGTGTTTCAGCTTATTTCTCTAGCTTTATAGGTATGTGCGTTTAGTAGTCGTTATGTCATGTAGCTGAGCTGATGATGGAAGGATCCTTGACCTTTAGGAGTTAGTGGATAACTCTTTCAAAAATCTAATCATGTATTGACCATGTTTTTTTTCTTTCAAGATACTTGTTTGGTGTTTGGGTTAGGTTACAGAGATATGTGCACAAAAGAGTAATATATGATGAGATTACAAAACATTTAGACCAAAAAAAAAGTTAGTTACGTAATTGTTTTCATGTTTGTTACCTCAAAACTCTTTCATTTAATTTTGTAAACCAATTATAAAATTATATTTTTTTAATTTCTGAATGTATATTTCCCCTTTAGCTCCATTCAAATGTGCAGAAAAATTCCACTGCTAGTTTCGGAAAATTAAGTAATGCCAAATAACCAAACGTGGTGGTCCAAAGGGTATCCTTTCGACTACAAAAAGAATTTTGAAAATCTTTCTACAATTGACGCAGATATCGCGTAACAAACATACCTACAAAAAAAATACAGACGACTTGATAACCTCCTCTTTTGTGTTTTTGAAGTCGTTTAAAAAATGCGAGACGAATTAGAAACGTCACTTTTTCTAAGTATGTATTTATTAATTGTGTTTACTAATATTTACTTCTATTATGTTTCTTTAATTTCCCATTAGGTTAACTGATAACAGACTTCCAAAATAAGGTGTTTATTTCCCATATATTTTCTTTCCACAGGTCTACTTATCTGTGGAACAATTAATCATACCGCCCATGCCAACTCACTCCCTCTCTAGAGACATAATTAGCATCTGCAACGACACTGATCACATTTTACGATTTATTTGGTTGCCGTGAGTGTTTTAATATGTATATAAATCCGTAACGTGCCCATGGGTAATGATGATCTACCATGGGAGTGTCATGCTTTGGCACTTATGGACAAGAGTGATTGAGGTAACACAAGAAACCCTCAAGCCCTTTCCCCTAAATTAAGAGAGGGGGAGGGGGTTTACTTAAAATGTGGCAACCATAGAGATATAAGCATAGAGAGAACACGGGGAACAGCTGCCTGTAAGTGGAAGCGATACAGGCAACGAGAGATATGGATGCCCGATATTTCCCTCTGTCTCCTCTCTGTTTAGCTAAGCTGCGATTGGCTACTTATAAACCCCTCATATTCCAAAGCCAACCACAGAAATCAGCTAGAAAGAGATAGAGGGACTATCTGTTATCCATGTGGTCCGAGCTTCCGCCCACACCGTTGCACCGTAGAGTTGTTAATAATTAGTGGTGACGGATTAAGAATACAGAGTGTCACCACCCCTATTCATCCTGTGGGTGTCGTAAGAACCGACTAAGGGAAAAAACTACGCAGAACAACAGCACTGCAGAGAGAAGGAAAACGTGACACAAACCCTATACCAACCCGTCTGGCCAGCGTGGAATAGTAGGCCAATACCTCCTTTCTAAGGAGAGGTTTATGTCCAGCAGTGGACTGTAAAAGGCTGTTGATAATCTATTATCCATCTCTCTCGTTGCCCATATTGCAAGCTTGGGGCTCTTGTTCCCTCCAGGTTATATCTCTATGGTTGCAGATGTCCACTGTTGTCAATTACCACCAGGTGACCCGTCTGCTCTTTTGACCCCTATGCCATGAAGAGAAGTTACTCTCTAATATACCGTATTTTAAAATCTATATTTTACGATTTTCTAGAGAAAGGATAGCAAATATTGTAAACATAGTAATGACTCCGTGCTGGGGAGTGATTCATCCTAAGACCTCTGAATGGATCACTATGACTGTGTATTCCTTACAAGAACCTTCGACTTTCACGTAAGTTATCATATCGTTACTTTTTTAAGAATTTTTCTTTCTTTTTTGACTTGTTTTTCTGAATAGTTGTCGAGTTGAAAATATGGAAACTTATAGGATAAAATGACTGCAAATATTTAATCACATAGCCAACTATCGCTTTTGGTTCGATTGTTACAAGGGGTGTTTTTTGTTAGTTTCACAAATCAGATTCATTCTAAATTTGGGTTTCCATGTGTTAAAATTATATAAGATCTCAAGATGTTCCAAAGAGTTAGCTATTTTGTAACACATAAATTACTCAAATGGTTGCTTCGATATATCTACTTATTGATGAACAAGTAACCGGTATTCTCCATTCAAACAAGCTAAACTTGTCAACTATTTTTTCTGTGTAAATTATAAATCCCGATTACTTTTGAATCAAAATGGTAGGTATGCCTGATTTTTTTTGCTAATAACAATTAAAAATTATAATAGGACAACAGTTGCATGTGAAATTTTGGATCTGACTGAACGTAAAATGTACCAACAGAATGAATTTCTAAGAAAAACTAAAATTGAGAAGTGCAATCAAGAATTCATAATAACCGAAGAGGGAAAGAAATACCCGGTTAGTACCACATTGGTTTACAAAAGCTTCTGAATAATCAAAGCCGAGGTTTCAGGCAATCACAGGATCAGAGCTTGATCTGTTATATTTATAAAACAGAAATATTTTGATGACAACTTTAAGATAATCTCCCACTTAAATTTATGGGACTTCCCATAACATGCACTCCATCCACTACTCCATTAAACGATTCGAAGAACTATGTATCTATTAAAATATAATATTATTTCACAGGATATAAATGATTCACCGCCGTATGTCCTGGACTTGAAAAATCCGAAGCCCTACTATTTAACTATAACAGTGTCAATATCTTCTAAGGGCCAGCGGGATGGATATCCGAGAATGAATTTAAGACAAATGTGGGAACAGGTAAGAGACTTCCTTGCAATCAGGTCATCCATTGCCTGAATCGTTATTTGACATGACAATCCATTCATCCATCCATTCATAAAAGTTGTAATTTTGTGGCATTTAAAAACACACAAAGTGGGTTAACGAACAAAGGCCAATAATATACGCCCTCGTGTGGCGGATGTCTTCTAAATGAGAGTCTATCCCCGAAGGGGATGCCGGCGCTTTTAAAGGCCAGGCGCTAGGAGGGGTCCGCAACCGTCATCTACCCAAGTAGGACTGGTCTGTCGGCGTGAAATGTCATGCGGTATTCCGATTGGGTTGATCTTGTTGCTGTTCTTATGGAATATCAGCTACGACTGGGTGCTCCGCGGTGCCTTCTAGATGATGTCGCCATCACGTGCTACGCGGATGACACGCTCGTGACTTTGTGCGGTAAGGCGCGCCGTGAGGATCCGGCGACTCGAGGTGTCTCTGCACAAATCTGAGGCCTTGTTCCTTCATGAGCCTCGGAGGGGGCCACCTGAGGGAGGCACTCGCATCGTTATCCAGCCCTCGATGAGGTAGCTGGGGCTCGGACTAGGTCGGGATCGTGGGACTCGAGAAATCGAGGACCAGAAATCCCAATTCCGCCTGGACCTCATGGAGGAGTGGAGGGAAAGACTTGGGCAACCAAGCGTCGGGCACGCCATTATAGCGGCTGCAAGGCCCTTTATGGAGGATTGGCTGGAGAGGAAACACAGAACCAATGCCTAAGTGCTACCATTGCGGTGGCCAGAGCATGGTCACGGCCCTCCACACGCTGCTAGAATGTCCGGCGTGGCATAGGTGGATTAAGGGCTTGGCTTCGTAACGACCATCTCAGTAAGTATTCTCTAGCTCGGTACCATGATTGCGGCAATTGTACGGAGCGATGGGACTGAGAGCGATTGTACAGAGGGAACTCTGCCACCACCTTCTGCAAGCAAGTTGTGCTCGAAAAGAAGATGGTGGAGCGGCACCCGAAGAGGCTTAGAACTCTCCCGGTCCGCCAGGCCTGGGAACGGGCCAGGTACTGCATGCGGCTCAGGCAGTGGAGGTCGCTGAATGACTTCCGTCCTGCATAAGTGCAGGCCTGGGGGGGCAGGTGAGGCCAACTGTTATCAAAACAAGTAAAAGCTCGGAGAGGGGCGCAGGCGAAGGGGGGGGCTCTGATGAGATGCTTGCCTAGGGCGCTCTTGATACTTAATCCGCCTCTGCTGTAGTGTTAGTATGAGTTAACGGATTTGACTTTTTTAATGGGCATTCAGAAATCTAAAGAACATGGCCTTATATGGTTTACCCATCTTATTAGGTGTAGATCATACAATAATAGGATTGAAACTAAGTCAGAAGTGCGATGCTAACTGGATATAAGCACCGAAGTTATGAGCCAACTTATTTAAAAAATATTACGTCTTTGCCTAATTATGCCAAATTTAGCGATAAAAACCGCGTCCAGAAAGAATTTAGGAGTAGTGTACAAAGTGAGGGCATCATTACATCGGTAACTCCATCGTAAATGACAAGATGCAGGCTTTGTTGCAATCATGCATTCTGACAGATCTATTTATTGTAGCATCGCAGTCTGGATGTGTCCTCTTGCAACAATACCTATACGAAACTCGATCGTATTGTCAACATGGTATTCATTGTAGGTATTATACGCAACGTTCAATACAAATTCAAATTCAATAATATTCTTGACGATGAATTGGCTTTGTGTCCTACGTATGATTATCATTTAGGTATGTGCTACTGACGACATGTGATTTCAAACTGACAAAGATGATTACATTTCCTTCTAAATTTCTCTCTCAGTTCTGCGATAAACAATACAGATTTTTTATCGAAGACAATGGTAACCACTTGGTACTTTCTACTTTCCATACTGAGCGCAGCTCTAAAAGAATTTCTTAGTGGAGTAATAATTTCCACAACACTCAACGCAGTAGGAAGCGGCGTGGCGACCGCTTAAGCCACTGCGCCATCCGACAAAGTTTTAAGAGATATAAGTGGCGACAAAGATTTAATAAAAAACAATTAATGAACACCTACTTTATTACATGTAAACCGAGTGTACCGAGATACCTAAAGTTAAATAATAATACAGTAATAGCGTGTGCGTTACCCCAGCAAAATAATGTCGAAAATGGTCATTTAAACGTTATAGATAATTAGTTGCTCCCCTTCTGTAATTGTTAGGCACATTTTTAAATTTGTTTCACTTAAACTTTTTTAGTTATTTCAAAAAAACATTTCCTGCTGGGGTAACGTTTGAAACGTTACCGCAGCCAGACATTTTCTTTTTTAATTGTAATATTGAAATAAATGTTAGCTAAATAATTAGTAATCTGGACTAGGTAAATGTTACAACTTATTTGGTATTTGTATTTTCTTCGGCTGCGAAGTTATTCGAGATCCTGCTGGAGTAACGTTTGTGGGTTTGCTGGATCTCTGAAACGGGTAAGTGGATTGTAACCATCTTTTGTACATAACTTCTTAAGGATTAGTTTTAATTTGTTCGACAATAAAATAACAAAAATAATGGACCGTTTAAAAATTATTTAGGTAAGTATGAAAACACTTCAATACGTCCTAACACTTCGAATAAGACCTCTAAAGACTTACTTCAAACGTTATTCTATTGCTTGTAACTACCTTCAAATGTATACGAATTTTCGTAAGAATACTGTAAGTGACTAAAAAGTTATGATGAAATGTAGCTCTCCACGTTCACGATCACAACGTGTGCGGCCTTTTTTGGCCACCGATAAAACTGTGTGTGGATATATAAACTGAATGAGTGCAGATTTTCTGTTGATTGTAGCTCCGGTAGTTAAAAAGACTAAAGAAATTTTAAGTAAAGAAACTAGTGCTTAAGATCATAAATAATAGGTAATAATAATGAATAAATATTGACTGTAAGTGACTAAAAAGTTATGATGAAATGTAGCTCTCCACGTTCACGATCACAATGTGTGCGGCCTTTTTTGGCCACCGATAAACCTGTGTGTGGATATATAAACTGAATGTTATGCCAAGAATTAGTTGTTTAGTTCAGTTGTCTACCTGTAGAATTTCAGCGTCGTACATATAATAATTTACGAGATAATTAAAAAAAAGTCATTAGAAGGTGCAAGACCGTGGTAACCCGACCATGTTTAGGTGGTTACAAAAAAGCGATCACCCAGTACATCGCGCTGTCTTTTAAAATGTTTAGTGTAATACACCTTACGATTTCGGTACAGTTGCGTACAGTATTAAATACATTCAATATTTATTCATTATTATTACCTATTATTTATGATCTTAAGCACTAGTTTCTTTACTTAAAATTTCTTTAGTCTTTTTAACTACCGGAGCTACAATCAACAGAAAATCTGCACTCATTCAGTTTATATATCCACACACAGTTTTATCGGTGGCCAAAAAAGGCCGCACACGTTGTGATCGTGAACGTGGAGAGCTACATTTCATCATAACTTTTTAGTCACTTACAGTATTCTTACGAAAATTCGTATACATTTGAAGGTAGTTACAAGCAATAGAATAACGTTTGAAGTAAGTCTTTAGAGGTCTTATTCGAAGTGTTAGGACGTATTGAAGTGTTTTCATACTTACCTAAATAATTTTTAAACGGTCCATTATTTTTGTTATTTTATTGTCGAACAAATGAAAACTAATCCTTAAGAAGTTATGTACAAAAGATGGTTACAATCCACTTACCCGTTTCTGAGATCCAGCAAACCCACAAACGTTACTCCAGCAGGATCTCGAATAACTTCGCAGCCGAAGAAAATACAAATACCAAATAAGTTGTAACATTTACCTAGTCCAGATTACTAATTATTTAGCTAACATTTATTTCAATATTACAATTAAAAAAGAAAATGTCTGGCTGCGGTAACGTTTCAAACGTTACCCCAGCAGGAAATGTTTTTTTGAAATAACTAAAAAAGTTTAAGTGAAACAAATTTAAAAATGTGCCTAACAATTACAGAAGGGGAGCAACTAATCTATATATATAAAAGAAAGTCGTGTTAGTTACACTATTTATAACTCAAGAACGGCTTTACAGATATGGCTGAAAATTGGTGGGGAGGTAGCTTAGAGCCAGGAGACGGACATAGGTTATTATTTATTCCGTTCGACAGTGTTATTTTGTTTTTGTTTTTTACGAACTTTGTTTTTTTACGAACATCCATGTTTTTCCCATGGTCAATTATATGTGGCATGTTCCCGGGTCGGAAGACTAAAGAAGGAAGGCGTTGTTTGTTTTTGCGCCTGATAAGAAAACAAAAAATGTCGTGTATCACAAGGTACTTAAGTGAAGAGCAACCTATGTACTGAAATGCAGAAACAATAATAAATGATTAATGTACTTCATTTTTTTTTCTAAGAAAAAAATAAACTTACTAAATTCGAAAATCGGCTTATTTATTGCCTTTAAGGCGGAACAGAGTTCGCCGGGGCAGCTAGTTATCTATAACGTTTAAATGACCATTTTCGACATTATTTTGCTGGGGTAACGCACACAGTAATAGCAACACCATAAAGTAACATGTGTAGTAAACTTATTAGGAACGGAACTTAACGGAACCTAATATATAACTGCTTCACATCATCAACAGCGTTTAATAGTCCACTGCTGGACCTCTCCTTAGAAATGAGGTTTTGCTGAGGTGCTTAAAATACTTGCAAAACTGCAAAAACTGCGTATTTCAGTGCGCATAGACCAGAATGACTTTTTTTTTAGAATTTCGTAATGAATAGACCACTCACTTTTATGATTTATTTTTAGACACCGCCATACAATTTATTGTCATCGGATGCCATAGCGCTTACTAACGACAGAGTTCCAGGCAGTAATAGTTTGACTATGGTAGACATCATAAGGGTTATAGATGGAATATTATGGTATGCTTATTAAACCGTTAATGTATTTTGTTTTCACATATTAGGTTTTTTTAAAACCGGCCAAGTGCTGAACACCAGTTTCCTTTCTGTCCGGTTTTAAAAAAATATTAATATTCGAGCTGTAAATGTAACTTATAGTCAAACCGCCGTAAGCTTGGCTCTCCCGATTGTTTGCCGGACGCGGGGCGGGTAACTCGATATCTTCAGATTTATTTGTTTGAGATTTAATCTACACACGATGGAATAAAAATCGAATTTATTTCCATGTATTTGTAAAATTTTAATACTTGTAAAATGATTTGAATAAAATCACCTATCTTTATCCTGTTAATCATATTCAGATACAATTTAATAATGAAGTAAAATAATAAGTATTCTTTATTAGAACTTGAAACCGTAGAAACTCTGTAAGCCGAACTTCAAGGGAGAGGCCAAATAATTCTTATTATTAAGACGCCATCTAAGGAGGTCTTCGCCATCTTAGGCGGATTTTGTAAGAATGTATTCGACATGTAAAGGTTTAGATTCTGTCTTAGACCATTTTTTATTTTTTTGAGGATGTTTCTCTCGTTTTAGAATATTGTTAACATAGTACTTTTTGGTAGGCTTAATTATTAGGGTTGGTACTTATAGGTTCTGTTTCAAGTTTTTCCTTTCTTTGTAGTGCTTTTGTCCAGCGTAGTTTGCTCCCTTAGACGGCTCTTACGACACCCACGGGATAAATAGGGGTGGTGATACTCCGTATTCTTCCGTTCCCACACGCATAATCGACAACTTCTACTGTATATTAATAAAGTAACTTAAAATAAAGAACAAAAGGAAACGTTTATTAAAAAATGAAAATTAAACCAAATGTTCTTGAATCTTTTTGTGACGCGAGTCGGCAGATTATCCATGTGCAAAATAATACCGTGTGTAGCAGTCTTAAGAAAAATGACACGTGCAGCCATGCTTTCACGTCAGTCACTGCCGGCGGACAGTGACACACTAGCTAATTGGTTGAGCGTACTCCCGCCCCGCGTCCCGCGAACAATCGTGAGCGCCAAGCTTACGACGGTTTCACTATAATATGCACAATACTAAGTTACAGTTACCGTAATATTTTGAGATCATTAAATTTTTATAGATTTTCAAGTAATATAAGTAGCTACACAACTATTTTCTCTAATAATTTAACATTTTAGGCTAAGTTGTTTTTGCCTTTTTCTTATTTTTCCAATGTTAAGTTTATTATCTATTAACGTAACTAATTTAAATTAGACTGTTAATAAACTATCCTAGATTAGTTAAAATCTTTCTTACTATGACGGGATAATTAACGGATTTTTTTCCCAGTAATTCCATGGCACAGTTCTGTAACGGAATTACTGTGACGCTTTTTCCGACTAGTACGAACTAATGATGCATATGATTAAGTCCCATTAGTTCCATAATCCAATTTTATCTTTATGAAACACGTACAGTCACGTATGTATAATAGCATGTGTTTGTATCAAAGTAAGACAGATTTCTACAATATCATTCCAAGTAACCATCTCGCTACTCAACAAAAAGCAAACTGGCTTAAACATATTAATTTTTAATTAAAATATAATCTCGCTATTGTACTTTTAAACTCTAGCCCTGTGGTAATAAAATTAAACATACGTTGTTCCCATAGTTAATTTCAATTAGTTAGGATATGCAGTATCGTATCCATATATTTTATTTAAGTATTAAATGTGTATTACTTATGTTATATTTCGAAAATTTGAAAATGTACCTACTAGGCACATCGTACCTACACTACGATGTGCCTAGTAGGTACTAGTAATGAAACGCTCCTGTTCATATAAACACTAGTCATATAAAAATATACTTTCAGGGACGCCTTACATAGCAAAATGTTTAGAAACCAAGTAGAATACTATGCCAAGGAAGAGTTGCCCACTTACGGTCAGTTAATGAAAAGGATGAAACAGGACCTTAAACCTCAATTAGCGAGAAGGTTAGCTAGCACATCAACAGCCTATATTAGTCCACTGCTGGACATAGGCCTCTCCTTAGAAAGGAGGTTATATATATATATATATATATATATATATTAGGTACAGTCTGCTGTTACAAACCAACATATACAGAGATAATTATAATTACAATACCAGATAAATGAAAATAATGTTAAAAACATTATAATAGTAAATTTCTACCGACTAAAATCATGTGATATGAAAAAAAATGTTATTTATGTACCTACATGACAAGTACTTGGTCATGAGACATTTATAAACGACAGGCGCCAACGCACAAGTGTAATTCGAATTCGTCGAATTGTGCTGTGCGTTTCTGTTTTTTAACAATGTTACATCAATTTGTCAATTTTATTTCCGACATTTAAAAACAAAGATATAAGAAAATAAAGCCATCAAGTTGATTTTAAGATTAGTGCAGGCGTGTTGTGTTGCATAATGTGATCAGTACAATAAAAGCTCATAGACAGCAAGCTTCGACTCGACTGTTCTATTAATATAGCTATTGGGGTTCCATTGCAGAATGTCGAAACTAACACTAAAATATTTCTAACATTTCAGAATGACTTCTGGAATATGCGATGCTATAGTTAATAAAGCACTTTTCCATACTTATAACCTTCATCCCAAGCAAGACCCGTATGTTGTTGAGGCGGAGTGATTAAAAGTAGTATTAGTACACTGTATTTTTTGTAATATTATAAATAAAACATTCTTTATGATGTGATTTACTCATTAAGTTTTTATCAACAATAAGTTGCTTATTCTACAATATAAGATAGCAATGATACCAATGGTATTCTAGTCTAGTATTTTGTCAAGTCTAAGTTGAATCTTCTTTGGCTTTGGCGACGCAATCACGGTGACTGCTACCCTGTCACCAAGCTTGGGGGTTTGATTGCCGCCCAAGTTGCTTCTATGAATGAGACCGTTATCTCCCACTCCGCAATCGACGAAACAGCCGAAAGGAACGACGTTACGGACGACACCTGAAACATATTAACAGATTGTAGGCGTATTTTTTTTTGTGCAAACGAGCAGACAGTTGATCGTAAGTACTAGACATGTAAATTATTGCTACTTTTAAATCATATCCATTTGATGATTAGTTTTGGTCACAGCGATTTCACATGTGATTGTGATTTCGTCATAGACACAGATAATCAAATAATAATAATAATATATTTATTTGCTTCAAACATGTGTAGTTTACATGAAATGCATCCTAAACAGTTCAATTGGTTAGCTTTTGTGTATCAACATGTTTTGCCATGGACGGCGTACAAATATAAATTGATTGAGATATAATCATCAATACAATAATATAATTATATGGGCTAGGAATGTCAAAAATGTCAAAAATAAAATAGAATGTCAGAATTAAATGTCAAAATGAAAAAAAAAAAAACTATAATATGTATGTCAAGATAAATAGTTACAGCTAAAGAGAAAACCTTGTAAAAATAATAATATAATTAATGAAGAGTTATCGTTTAAGTAGTCGTGAATATTATAATAGCATTTCTTAGCCAACATTTCCTTAACTCTGCTTCTAAACAAATTATGATTCAATGACTTAAACTCTTTTGGTAATTTATTAAATATTTTGGGTGCCATACAGATTACACTACTAGCCAAATGAGTAGTTTTGGCACTGTGCATACGTAGTCGTTGATTGTCTCGTCTGTTGCGCTGAACTGTATCAGATAATCTTGGGAAAGATGTAGGATTATTTTTCACAAAGAGACACATTTCTAAAATATATAATGATGGAAGGGTTAAAATGCCATGATTACGAAAGTATGGTTGACAACTATCTGTAATTTTTAGTCCAAACATAGAGCGGATACATCGTTTTTGAAGCTTAAATATTGAAGATTTAACCCTTTAAAAAGATTACAACCCTTTTTTTTACAATTGTTTTTTTACAAAATTACTCGGCTGTTTTTTTGTTTAAAGACAACTCGAGTACTAAGAATAAATCCTGTGTCGCGAGAGACTTTACAAACACACATGAAACAGAAAAAAAACACCCAGAAAAGAATAACAATTAGTGGATCACACAAAGTGCTGTCCCATGCGGGAATGGAACCTACAACACAGCGCTGTAGGAAGCGGCAAGGTGACCACTTCGCCGGCGCCATCCGTGCAGCTGTGATTATATGACTTATAAATCATATGATTTATCACATATCATTGTGACTATATTCCATCACTAAATATAGTAAGTACCATCGCCCATGGACACCTCAAGAGTCAGTGCCGCCATTTGAATAAGCGTATCACCGCTTTTCTATGAGGCTGTGGTATTACTCCGTTCGAGTCTGGCCCATATGTGCCGAAGTATGGCTCACCCACGAAAACGTGGTAGCGAGGCGACAGGTGGGTCTTAACAATACACTATTGAATATAATGAACATCTCTAAAGATTACCTGTCAATGATGTGCCTTCTTTTAGCTGTTCCACATTCTGTACAGCAACGGAATATACGGGTTTACAAAATGTTATGGTATTATCTTCATATTTTTTTTGTTTAAAAGCATTGATTATAAGCTCCAGAGTGCAAGTATCAGTTTTAAGCTCTTCACTTGTCCTGGTAATATCAATCCCAGATATTTTTCTTTCAACAACTTGTGGAAAATGTGGCTGTGTTAGCTCCTTTAGGTTGACGCCGATTTTCTTCGCAAATCTAAGGGGGAAATTAAATTACTAGTGGTATTGACGTTAATATTTTTTAAATGACATTTAAGCACACAAGCTCGTCAATAAGCTAGTAAACAAGAACAAAAGACAACCTATTTGACAAACAGCAATTATACTAATATTTATCAACAGCCTTTAATAGTCTACTGTTGGACATATACCCCTCCTTACAAAGTTGCTTTTGGCCTACTATACCACGCTGGCCAGACGGGTTGGTTTAGGGTTTATTGTAATTTTTCCTTCTCTATGCAGTGCTATTGTCTTACGTAGTTTCCTCCCTTAGTTGGCTATTACGACACCCACGGAATAAATAGGGGGTGATGACACTCCGTATTCTTAATCCGTCACCACATGGATGATACTATTAGATGCATTTAAAAAAATGACCATTATACAATTTAGTCAATGACCACTCAAAATAATTGATATTCGTTTTAAGATAATTTCTGCACAACATAGGGTCATGAAAGTTTAACTAGATTTTACCCGCGTAAATGTAATGTTTTGAACCGTCAGAAACTGTAGGTACTATTTTTATGGGTGAATGATACAATAACATTATATATATAATATATATATATATATATATATATATATATATATATATATATATATATATATAGTAATTGTATCCATAGCACCGAAATCATAGGCATTATATCAAAGGCATTCATAATTTGATTATCGAATTAATGGTTTGACAGCGCATAAAATACGAAGAAATAAGTATAGGTACGTAGGTAAGTATAGGGAAATAAGATAGGAAGAAATGGACACCGTACCAGTACTAGCTTTAAATAAGAAAGTGATTTGATGGAAGCTGTCACTCCTATTTCACACTAAAATATATAAATATTTGCCTCATTCAAAAATTAAGGCAAATGTTTTGTAAATAAAATAATACTTACGTTTTTTTATTAAAATTGTAATTAAAACCATTTTCTCTTACCATAGAATCAATAACAAGTTAAGTAGTAACTTTACTACGTAACGTCTTATGGTTTTGATCTAGTTTTATTCTATTCTAACTAAAAAATAATAATAATAAAAGCGATTCCCACTCTGCCGCCTAGCGCTCAAGATCCGTGCCGGTAACCATGCCTATTGAGGACTTGGCTAAGTGGTAACCAAGTAGGTTAAAACATTGCAAAGATCAGTACAATAAAAGCTTCCAAATCATGGGCTGTCTATATCAGAAATATAGTGAAGAGGGCTAATTCCATGCTGTATGTGGTAAGAAAAGCATTTGATATCACACCAAAAGACTTGTTTATAAAGATCTATAAAACATTATCCGTCCGCTCTTGAAGTACGCATTTCACATATGGAATAAATACTTCAAGAAAGACATAGAAATGCTCGAAAAAGAACAACGGAGGTCTACAAAAATGGTTATATCCGTAAACTACAATGGAAAAACGCAGGCACTGGGGAGATCTCATTGAAACATTTAAAATATTAACTGGATACTACAATGTAAAGGACATCGGAGACCTCTACAGTATAAATTCAAATACCCAATTGAGAGGACACCTATTGAAGCTTACCAGGTCTCCGTCTGTTAGCAACAAAATCGCGTGGTGACCATTTGGAACAGTTTACCGGAAAGTGTAATTAGTGCTGGACCAGTGAACATTTTTAAAAACAGACTAGACGAACATTTAAAAACAACACAATATGATCTGCTAGTGCATTATAAAATAATAATAATGATAATAATCCTCGCCAGGTCAGTCTATGGATGGGTGACCATTCTTAACACATTGAGACCCCCCGCGCCTCGGAGCAGGTTAAGCCTGGTTGCCATACCGAAGTTCAGCCGTATCGTGATAGACTTAAAGCCGACCCCAACCTGGTTGAGGAAAAAGGCTCGGATGAAGAGGGAAGAAGTACCTATTGATTTTTACATAATATATTTAACAATTTTATCGTATGTTACAAATTTACTTACGTTTTGGCTATAACATAACTTTCTGGATGTATGATGGTAGTGTCCAACGGTTCAGAGCTTCCCAGTACTGTTAAAAAACCAGAACATTGCTGGAAAGTAATTTTCCCAATACCCGGAACTTTTAATATTTCCGATCTTGTTGAAAAGCCATTGTTCTCTTGACGATATGTTATTATTTTTTTCGCTCTTCCCTCATTTAGTCCTGATATTCGTCTGTAAAAAAAATGTGTTACGTTCAGATTACGACAACCGCCTACGTTGACAGATAATTGAATTTGTATGCATGTCTAAGTAAACTGCGTGTATGGAAGATACATACACTTTTGGAGAGAAGGTTCAAATTAGATCTGTCACTTGGTATAATAAGATACCCATCTTAATAAGTAAAATAAACACAGATTAAATATACCACTTATAAATCATTCACATGTTTGATTTTGGAGTTTCAGAACCATTAAAATATTTCTCATAAAGAAAATTTATTTTCTCATAATCGGAGTTCTCATAACTGTACTTCTTTCTCCAACAATGTAGGTTCTTTATCTAGGGCCTACATTGTTAACGCGGTTTGGCGAATTATCCGTACAAATTTTTAGTTTAGTAGCTATCGTTTCACTGTCGCTCAAACCTTCGCTACCTTTATATCTTGACCTAGTCTTATTTTACAGTCCTACAAATATTGCTATATTTAAATGACATTGTCATACCTTAACATTGCTTGTGATGCAGTATTGATATCCACGCCAACTAAGCTCACTACTTTTTCTACAGCAGCATCTAAGGCGGATTCAAGCATTTTTGGTGGAATGTCATGTTGGTATAAACCAACACCTAAATTTTTGGGGTCTACCTACAAAAATAATTGTTATTGACACAGATATTATATTATTTATTTCCCGATGGATGAGACTTTCGCTTATTTATTAATAAATTTAAAAAATATAGGAATAAAGAAAAGAAAAAGGAATAAAGAAAAATAAGACTTACTTTGATAAGTTCTCCTAAAGGATCCAGTACTCTCCTAGCAATAGATAATGCTGATATTAAGTTTGGGTCCATATTTGGGTGCTCCTAAGATATAAAATTCGTTATTACTGTTAGAGATAGTACTTTCCGACTAGAAATTCGCTTTCGCCACAATACCTATCCAAGTGGACCATATTGTTCCAGTTGAAAATACAAGATAAATGCTTTAAAACTGTTAAAATTATATTTTAAAGATATTACTGTAATAACTCACTATGTTACCAAAGGATAATGATTGATACTAAACTCGACATACCTTTTGGGCTTCTTTGCTGATTGAGTAAATAGAAGCCCCTTGTTCTGGCACTATTATAATTGGAACATTTTCAGATATATGATGACTTTTCAACCACAATTCAGTTTCACGACAAGCAGTACCATTGCCTAGACCTATTAGTTCCACACTTTAAGAATAAAAAAGTAATTATAAAAATTATTGCCAGACACAAGCAAAATATTCTTTCTTACATACATACATACCCATATTTTTTTATCAAGTCATTCAATTGTTTCACAGCTATGTCATGTTGTCTATGTTGTCTCAAATCTGGATGTAAAGTACAAGCATCCTTCATTTCCCCATTGCAATTTATAATACCAACCTGAAAGAAGAAGTAACTATAACTTTTGCATAACAATACACTTTGGTTTTAGAATACTCTGTTGATTCTAATTTTTAATAATATGTTAAATATTTTTTACTCTTAAGTCTACATCTACATATATTGGAATTTTAAAAACATGGCTAAATAAATTAGATAAGTAATTTTTGATAAGTTATGACTATTACTTTGCAACCAGCTCTAAAACCAGGATCCAAACCGGCTATAGTCTTATTTTTGATTGGTTCAGTTAGTAGATACTTCTCCAAATTTGTTGTAAAAGTTTTCACAGCTTCTTTTTGTGCAGAGGTTGTAAGATCTGCTCTTACATGCCTGGAGAGCCATGATTTTATAAGACGATTATATGCATCACTTAAGCCTTTTCGAACCCAGTAACTGCTTTTCCATAGTGAAAGACAGAACCTAGAAAAAAAATCTTCATGAGTATTGTTTTTAGTGCATTGTTGTTTTTGCTTATTACAAAAGCATAGCATCCTCTAGACACAGAATGTTAAAAAAAGTGTCTTCCTAATAATACTGCTTAGTTTATTTTCATATTGATATACAGTATTAACAGAAAAAAAACATTTTTACCTTTCAAGTCTATTATAAAACCAATCAGGAACTACTACTTTTACTGAAAGAATTTTTTCATCTTCACCTCTGTTTAAAGCTAAAGTCTGATGAGCTTTTACAAAGTGGCTAGGACATTTCCAGTCAAAATATATTTTGTAAGTTTCAGGATCTGATTTTGTATCCATTTTCTTTGTGTCTGTGTCTTTTTCTTTAGTAGAACTCTTTGTTCGACTGCTTTGTATTGTGAATCTGGTTTCTTCTTTTCTGGAAAAGTAATTGAGGAAATAAAATCATTAATCATGACCAGTCTTTCAAAACGCTTAATATAAGCAACAACTTCCTTAACTTTCTTTATTTAATATAAGACAACTCCTGCATTCGGAATAAATCTCGTCTAGCAGGGACTTTACAAACATACATGAAATGGACACAAAGAGCAACAATTCTACACATAAGGCAAATTCATTGCATACAGAGTTCAACTTTAGTATCTTGTCACCTTCATGACTAAGTGAGAATTATAAGCAATAAAATTAAAAAAAACCTACAGTTTTCTCATTTGTTCTAGAACTCTGGTATCTTTATAAATTATGTCAGCCACTATATGTGTCACATGACATTCAACTTTCTCAAGTGTAGCCAGTTCTTCATCTTCACTACATAGTTTTCTCAAGTCAATATATTCACCATTTAATGCTTGTATAGCATGTGGCTCCAAACCAAGGTTCCGAGCCCTTTCAGCTAGTGATAGTGAATGTGATTTCAATGGAGCATACTGAAATTAACAAATTCTACTATAATAACAAATCTGAAAATTTATAAAGATTTAGTGTAGCTGATTATTAGTTGTATTTCTGCACATTAATATTTTTCATATTAATAAAACCGTCAATGTATTGACACTGAATTTAGTAAGTAGTGGTTTTTCTTTGGAACATTTTAAGAACAAAAACTTACCAAATACATCAATCACACTGGAATATTTCTAATTTATTCTTTTTTTTTTTGTAAAAATACACTTTTTTTATCTTTCAGTTTTAGAGAAATGTAAAATAAGGACTCTAGTGTAATGTAACTATCCTAATTTGTTTGTACATTATTAAGGCTATTAATTTACTGATATTTTGCATACCTACAGATTGTCTGGGGGTTCTTATAACACCCTTAAGAAGTGTACCAAGAGATACCAGCAGACAAAATCTAGTATAATATATTTAGCTAAAGTAGTTTTTCTTCAGTATTTCAACTTTGGATTTAACTTTTATTGTAATATAACAGTAATATTGGCTTTAAAGATTTACATAAAAATGGTCATAAAATAACTTACTATTAAATCAACTTCAGATAAATTTCTTGCATTCAAAATACTCTTCTCCACTTCAGGTGTTAACTTATTATTTTTCTTAAGAGATTCAATGACAGATTTCACTTTTTTCTTTAATTGTGTAATGTTTTCAAAACTCTCATATAATTCCTGAAGTCTAAAAAAGTATTACTAATGTTTTGCAGTAAGAAATAATTAACAAATAAAATAATTTATAATTATATTTACCTACCGATCAGGCATCAAATTATCTACAGCGGTTTTTCTATATCTGGCAATAAATGGTAAAGTACAACCTTCAGTGAGTAAGGTAATTAAGTTCTGTGCTACTTTCAATGAAATTCTTTCCACTTGTGATAGCATTTCAGCTTCATTCCAAATATTGGGAACATTAGTTCCATCATCAACTGTTGTAGCTTTAGTCCAAGCATTACCATCCACCTCGTCACACTCGTCAGGGATTACGCTTTGTGGATTAACTTGTTTAGAAGCTCTTTCACCTTTGACAGATTTTGTTTTGGATACTTTTTGAACAGCTTTATCTTTAGGCTTAGATTTCACTACTTTGGCTTTAGGTACATTTCTAACTGGCTTAGTTTTTGGAGCTGCTTTCACGGATTTTGCCGTTGAAGTCTTAGCAGCCACCTTCGGTTTCTTTCTAGAGGAAATCTTAATTTCATCATCACTGTAAGAGTCGTTATCCTTTTTAGATTCATCTTCACTATTAGATTCATCAACAATATACGCTACCGCTTTACGTTTCCTAAGTTTAGGAGCCTCAGATTCCATGTCTTGAGCTTGAGAGAGATTTAAAAAGTATCTAAAACGGTTTAGAATCCTTACCTATTCGATTGACATTTGGCATTGACACTTGACGGATAAACAATAAGGTCCAACAACCGCATGGTACACGTCACGCGGCAAGACGTCTTGAACAGCTGTTACCAAGTTGGACTATAAATGATGGAACTTCATTAATTTCTTACTTTTTACACTTACTTTTACGATGTTTTGAGCCCGAGTAGTGTTTATTTGTGTTATACGGAAATAGTATCCTAGGTGTTCATAAGCAAAATTTTATCAGTGTTTCATGATCAAAACAATCAAAAGCTTAGATAAATCGCAAAAGATACCTAGAGAATCGTGGGCTTTCTCCCAGGCATCATATATATATATATATTTTAATAGCTCAACACTGGCAACAGTTGTGGAGTGATCCATTGAAAACCAAATTTTTTATTGTGCAATATATTTTATTATTTTTATTGTTTGTACATATTTTTTTCATTTTTTTTGCTAAATACTACAGATGTACTACCAGATTGAATAAGGGAATAATTTTACTAGACTTCATAAGATCAGGAAATACACCAATATCAACATGTTCATTAAATGTAAATGACAATTTCAAACGGGGAAACATTTTGGACCGTAAATTTATTATCAATCCTACTAACATTATCTTTAAAAATTGATTCTGCAAGGCATTTTGACGAGTTCAAAGATTTAGTAGTTAATATAGGAATGTTAGCAACCTCAGCATTTGATGTGATAAATTTATTATTTATATTAAAATTAAATTCATTATCACGTTATTGCTATTTGCCAGTTTCACTGTTAATAATTTTCCAAGTAGTTTTAATCTTATGATTGCTACCTTTAATCGTTGAACTAATAAAACGAGACTTAGCCAGTTTACAAAGCTCCCTAAACAACTTCGAATATTCTTTAACACCATTATGAAACTGTTCACTTTTATTATAATTCTTCATCATATACCTCGTATAATCTTTTCCTAATTTTGAGTAAGCCAGTGGTAGTCCATTCACTAAATGTAGCGTTCGTTGCCTTTAACCACTATCGTTTTTGGTGTAAAAATGGTGCTAAATGTTGAAGAAAAATACAAAAAAGCTATTTTAGTAAGTATTAGGGTTATTCTCTACGTAGAGTACTGAAGTGTTAAAAGCAGTTTTAAGTTTATCCTCAAAGTTTTCCCAACGCTTTGCGGTTCTAGGTATCACCACAGTTCTTTTTTCTGCCATCTTTTCATACCTATCACAGAAGATACTAATTAACCACAGTGGTCAGAGTGTAATTGATTGTTTATTTTCTTGTCCTTAATTACAATGTTTGTAAATATATTGTTTAAACATGTGATGGTGGTTGCAGTGATTCGTGTAGACTCCTAAAAGTTCTTCAGATTGTATGATTGAAAGAGTGCCTTGAACTTGGTTGCTATACTTGAATTTTCCAATAGGTTTATATTAGTCACCACAGAAGATGACCTTCTTTTTTGATCTTGTTACTTTAACTAAAACTTCATCCATAACACGTTCAAAACAATCATACATAGGTAAAGGAGGTCTGTATGTAGGAGGTACATATACTACTGCAGAGACATCTACATCTAATGTGGAGTCGGAAATACGACAACAGCCGTCCCGATCACCCATCGCTCTCATTGCACTGAGCTCGGGTTAATAAACTTGCTCGCTTCTATAAAAAAATTTTGCTGTTTTCACATCTATCTGTCCTGCGCGCCATGTCTCATTTTTTTTGTATGAGAGAATAGTCAGTTTTAGAGGGATGTTTTTTGGAAAGATGACAGAAAACTACGCTTTTCTCGAAAGGCCTCTACCTCGGGTTTTCATCTTCACAATTTATATCCGTATTGTTTTAATGTTAATGTTTGTAGACAGCTAAAATTTTATTGTTGTCTTTTTAGAAAAAAAAACTGTTACCCAAATAATGGAGTCATAAAAATGTAAATGGACCTAATTGAAGTTTGAACCAAGTTTGAATTTGAAGTATTTTGAAGTGTCAAGTGTTTGTTTACTAAAGTTTTTGCAAGTTTACAAGAGCACGACAAAAACTGTTGTTAAGTGTTGTTATTTTATATTTGCAAGCTTGGGAATGCGAATGCAGCCAATAAATTAAAAGACAGTAACTACTAATTCAATTATAACTAGAAAAATGAGCAGTGTAAAAGGCACATTGTTGAAAGACATAGTACTTAATTTTTATAAGGGGAATCTTAACTTTATCCTGAAGGTAAGAAATAGCAGCTATATTAATCAATTGCACTAAGTCGTAAGATCACTTATTCTAACGAAATTCTTTTTTTGTAAAGAGGAAGAGTTTGATGATTGCTTTGTAGGTTATAAACCAACAGTTTCCTCAGCCTTAACATGTACATTTAGATGCAGAAAACCATTTGCATTTAAAGGTAAAAAAAAGAAGTAATTAAAATAACACAGTTCTATTCAATGGTATATTAGAACAATTCTGAACAATTCTACAAGTACCATTTCTGATGGGATCTTATAATTCCAGTGTATTGTAAACGACACCACTGAAACACAACTGGGTGTCGTTTCCTTTTTTTTTTTTGGTAATGACACCATGGTAATGAAGTTCTGACACCAAACTTATCCATTTATCGACATCAATTATAATTCTTTCAAAAAAAATGCTTAAAGATCATGTAATTAAAAACTACAAGTAATTGTGGTTACATTTTAATATCAATCAGACAAACAAACGATTAAGCCAAATAAATATAGAATAAAGTGAAATACATTTAAAAATAATTATCATCTTACAAATATTGATGACAAAAATCAAAATGTCGCTTCCAGTGAGGTGCACTAAAATCTTACATCTTTGTAGTGTGATGTTCACTCAGTCTGCGCTTGAAGTTAGTGTAGGTAACCATCAAAACATTATTATTTTGATACTGCTTTTATGTGTGCTCCCAAATAAAATATATTGTGTATTAGTATTATGTTCTCATGTTAAGTGAATTGTATCATAATTGTTATTGAGAATAAATATTTTTAAACCTTAAATAAATTTCATTCATAAGATCACAACCATTTAAAAAGATTTTCTAGTAGTTGCTTTAAAGATAGCAGATGAAGTGTAACAAAGATACGATTAAAAAAAAATATGGTTAATGTATAATATTGGATCAAGTATTATAATTTAATTTATTTGTTTTTGTTGCAATGGATAATGAATTGTTTTATTTCTCGTTATACATCACTAGGCAGCAGTAGTGTCGTTAGTGAGTTAGTGATGATATGATGATGATGATGATAGATGAAGTTGTATGTTGTATAAAATATTAACAAAAACTGATATTGTTTCAGTTGGAAGATCTTGAGATAATGGACTGGGACTTCCAGGATAGCTTTTTAGCTGCAACTTTTAATAGTAAACTAATAAAACAATACCCAGTTAGCTGTCAATACTCAAAATTATTCCTTAAAAAGTTGATAGAACACCTTGAACCAGAACATGAAGTCCACGATGATATTTATGCACATCTGTGTACTGTTATGAATGATTCGAAAAACGATGGTTTTTGTTACAGACATTATGTTATTGGAAAAAGTTTAGACAATGTAGTAACAGTGAAGGAAACACGCAATATGGTGGTTAATGGAACAACAGGGTTGAAGACTTGGGAGGTATTATTGACCACTTAATATCTAATAGGTTTGTTTAAATTTCGAAATATAGACGAATAATATTTCGAAATAAGAGTTTACCTTATAATGCACACAGGATGAAAGTTTGCATGACTTTTACACTGAAAATGTTGTGAGCACTAGTAATCCTTATCATTAAACTAAAACTATTCCGTTTGTAATTTTAAAATAGTACCTACTTTAAAAATATACATACTGAAAACCATTCAAAACCTGGAAATATGTTAGATTTTTTAACACTCTTCCCCATCGGTGACTAGTAAATGCTAAGACCCCCCTTCCTCTCTGGTTTTCACATAGTAATTCATAAATATGGTTTGAAATATTTGGCTCATATTTGTCTTAAATAATACAGCGTTTGCCATATATGGTATTTAACCCAACCTGGGATCCAGTATTTGAAAACCCCCTTCACACTGAATTGGTCCTGACCTATTACTATATATGGTACACCCATACTGGGTATGTTCCCAAAGATAAATACTAATATCAGGGGTGGAGTATGAAATTTCCGATTTGTACCAAAAAAATTGAAACTAGATTTTTTAAGATGTAACATATTTATTTAATTAAAACATTTAAAACTCATTATCTGTACATTGCTGCCATCTAAACAAGGGCTTCCCAAACTATTTTGGGCAAGAGACCCCTTTTCTAAAATTAACTGATACCTAAGACCCCCATAGCCAAATTACTGCACGCTGATCAACTTGTAAAAGTACAACAACAATACTTACAAAACTAGTAGTCATCCTTATAACAAGTTGGTATAAGTAACACAATACAGTATCTTGAAAGTTGTAAATTAAATCTAATAACAACTTGTGATAATTAATAGTCGTTTCAAAGGTCGATTTTTAGAACTCGTCGACCCCCAAAATTAGTTTTCGTTAATGTCGACCCTTAGGGGCACTTATTTCGACCCGAAGGTGTCGATATCTACCACTAGAGAATCGCTGATCTAAGCGAAAGTTCATTTATGCCTTGACGATATACGTCATTGTTAACAATAGAAGTCTGGGGATGTCCTGGGAAGAATTTTTTTTATCACGTAGAAAATTGTCCAAATCAGAAAACAATAGTAGTCCACGTTGGAGCAAGGTTTGGCAAGGTGGTTTTTAACTGCAGCTCCTGTAGAGTTGCAACGGTTTCTCGTGCAGTGTGAGGTCTTGCGTTATCATGGAGCAATAATGGAGAAGATCGATTCACGAGGCGGGGCTGTTTCACTGCCAGTTTTGCCATCATTGTTCGAAGTACGGTACAGTAAACATCTGCTGTTATTGCATGACCAGATCTGAGAAAGCTAAAGTGAATAACACCACGATGAGACCACCAAACAGTTACCATTACCTTTTTATTGGTAAGATTCAACAAGGCAACACGAGTTTCAACACGCATTTCGTTCTGCAGATCAGTCAAATCATGAGGCACCTATTTTTCTTTTATTGATTTGATGCAAATTAGTTAATATTGTAGGTAGGGTAACGTTAAGCCATAGCGCTAATTCCTGGGTATTTTGACTCGGATCGGCTTTCACCATCTTCAGTTCAGCGTTATTCACCTGTGTTGCCGGTCTTCCACATGGTTTGTTTTTCAAGTCGAAGTTTCCATTACGAAGACGTTTAAACTAAAAACGCATGATGCAGCAAACGCAGCATTGATATTGCCGTTTCTGCCGCGTTAGTTCCGCGTCGGAACTCGAATTCAAAAATTACTCGGCTTTTTGATCTTTCACGTCAAAGCATGCAAGCAGCATAAAAAAACAATTGATAGTCGAAAATCGAATATTGCACAATTTTAAAAGAAGAACCTCATTTGGCATGAAGGTTTTATGTTAATTAAAGAGTCTAGTACTATACAACGGCGGTTTTATACTTTAACCCCCCCTATTACTTAAGAGACAATTATTAGGCAATTACTTATTAAATGCAATTATATAGACTTTTTTCTTTTCGCAGGCTGCACTCATGTTGTCTGATTGGGCTTTATGTAATAAGGATGTGTTTTCAAATAAATATGTTCTAGAATTGGGCTCAGGAGTAGGTTTTGCTGGTATAACTATTGGAAAGATGTGCCCTGTAAAGTCTTTGATGCTCAGCGATTGTCATGAAGAAGTGTTGACAACTATAAAAGAAAATATTGTAATTAATTTTGCAAATTTTTCAAGACAACAGAGTTATAATGTTTCTATGTACAGTGATCAAACTAAGTCCATAGGTAGGTTTAATCATTATTGCACGTTATTTCTTAGTTTTATTACATAGTACATGTTAAATTTAGTAATGTTTTTTTTAAGGTGCCATGAGGTTAGACTGGAATGATATTGAGAATCTGAGAATTAACATAACACCGGACATAATCATTGGAGCAGATATAGTATATGATCCTATGATATTAGAACCCCTGTGCAATGTTTTCGATAAATTTTGCAATATCAATAGTGATACAGAGATTTATATTGCTAGTGTTATAAGAAATGAAGAAACCTTCAAAGGATTTTTAAAAATGCTCGGTGCGTAGTTTTTGTGTGTATTCGGAGATTTCATTATTAATTCTACTTTTATGATTGTGGTTTTGGTGACTACCCAGGTTTGATTCATACCATACATTAATGTTGTATTTAACCATGACAAGGTTCTAAGATGTTAACAATGATAACCGCCTTAACAGTTGCAATATATATTTCTAAACTTACAGTTACTTGAAGTATTAACATGAATGAAGATCAGGTATTCCTAAAAACACAACCTTGAATGGTTTAATTCGATAGAAATGTTGGGTAAACAAGAGTTATCCTTATCATACCATATAAATATTAACATGTCTAAATCATATTGTTTCTCACATGCATATTCATAAAATAAAGCGATGGGGAAAAAAGCGAAGAGATGGAGAAACACTTAAATGTATTACTTAATTTTTTTTACTTAATAATAATTTAATAACAACCTCACATGTCTCATTAATAGTCTTTTTTCTGGTTTTCAGATACAATGAACTATAAGTGGGATAAAATAGCTTTAAAAAAAAGTATTTTTGTAGACTGGAATGAAAACATACAGAAGTGTTTATTGAAAATTAAATTAAGATCCTAACATGTTCCTAATTTTATTTATAAAAATTAAACAATCCAATCCATCTCAAGGCTTGAGATTCTAGGACAGGTGAAGAGAACTATTTGCATAGTAACCATGACCAATTATTATATTATAAAAAGAGTGTCATACTTTCTAGCGGTGGCATGGCATCCGTCTTACAGCACAAATAAAGGAATAATTCCAAAAAATAAAAATAGTTGAAAATTAAGATAAATTTTGGTACTTACAAATTTTCGCGAAAATCTACGTAAAATCTGGGTAGGTACGGAACCCTCGGCGCACTAGTTCGACTAGTACCTGACCGGTTTTTTTTAATAAAAAATCTTAAAAGTTTTTGGGATATGGTATTTTTAGTGAAATCTATCAGAATGTGGGTTATTAAGATTTGATTTGACAGTTTTGTTAGTGTTAGAATTTTGTAATGGTAACATTGACATTGTTCCATCAAAGACTCAAAAGTCATTCAAATTATTACTTTGACATTGACATTACTATAGTCCATCTAATCTAAACGGTACCTACCGTTTGACGTTCTAAACGAAACAACTTTGTATTGGCCACATAAGACCATGGAATTACGTAGCTATTTCTATTTTATCACAAGATGTACCATTCCTGTTTACTAAATGTTTTAACAAAAATCTCTTACACAAAGCAAACAGAAAAACAAAAAATATAACAAATATATTTTTTTAGACTTCATTTCAAAGTCACGTAGTTAGGTACTTAACGAATTGTTGTGACTTCAAATTCACTTGTATACGAATAATCGTAAAATGTAAAAATAATCGGAAAGACATTTTTTAGTATTTACAAAATGCGCCATACAAGTCTGCACAAATGAAGTCAGCTGCAAACCAAATGTTGGTACTCTAGCAAACAAACGTACTGATCATAAAAATTAATTTCATTTATTTTTCGCGTGAATTCTTAATAATTTGCTTCATTTCTTCGATCGCTTCAGGACAGATTCAGTTTAAGACAGATTCAGACAGATTTACAGTCGTGTAATCGTGTTGAAATTGTCTCCAAATACTTTTCCTTAATATATCAACACATATAGATAATTAGCGCCCTTAAAGGTATTTTGGAGTGCTCAAAAATAAATAGCTGCGAGCAATTTTCAACCTAATGATTAACCTCTAGCGTCATTTATAGATGCCAAAAAACATGTTTTAAGAGAAATGTCATTAAGGGCAAATTGCTTGCAACAGTTTTTTGTTAAATGTTTGTGGTGAGTACCATAAATTAGGTGCAAGGTGCTTTTTCGACTTATTTTGTCGGTTAATATGATTGTTGAAAATCATATTATTATGTTAAGTTCCTGAAACTAGGCCTTGTGTTATTTATTTGTCTTTACTTATGTGCAATTGTTTTTACATTATTATGTAAATCTATAAAACAGAAATCGATTTGTAAATACAAATAAATAAAATTGATATCTCTTAAGAATCGGATATTGTAGCAATCGATTTCTTTGATCCTCCTTATTCTTCAATCTGTCAGAACTGACAAACGGTACCTCTTAGATTAGATGGATTGTAGATACGTCAATTTTCGTTAAATTATATAAAAAATAAGCGATATACATTTTAAATCAACTTTTTGATTTTCTAAACTATAATGAATAGAGCGCTTATAAACAGTCAAACACTAATGGGTTGTTAATTGGTTATAATTTTATTCAACAACATATTTCTAAGTTAACCTAAGTCAGGTCTTAAGATTATTCACCAAAATGTCTGAAGAAATTAATGCTACTGCCGAGACTAAAACGACAACAGCCGATACTAACAAGAATCAGTTAAACACTTCACCTAAGAAAGAAGAAGCCTGGGGCTACGATTTGTATCCAGAGAGGCGCGGTACATTTACTGCGACGCTGGGTAATATTCTTATTGGTAAAGAAGGAAAAGAAAACATTGATAAATTCAAATGTGAACAGAATGTGTATGAATGTTTTAAAAACAGTAAGTGCTTACTATTTAATCTTATTCTCATGAAACTCCTTAAATAGCTATTAGGCATTTGAATTACATATATGATATTATTTTAATGTTTTAGGTGCTATTGTAAAGGTTATGTTAGCAGCTTTGAAGAGCTCTGGGTGGTAAGAATTTAATTTATTACTTGATTATTAGATGAAAATGTTTTTTATGAAATATTTTCTGGATTGTAATTTAAAGTACTTTTTAATTTCATTTTCTTCTAATGTAATTGCATTTTGTATAAATCATAGAATTTGCCAAAATAATAAAATAAAAGAGAGTTTGAACCAGGAAAAAAATAAAGGTAATATCTTATATGCTATAAATATAATATATTATGTAAATCATGTTCATGTTTCATCACGGGACTTATTCTAATATTCTTTTTCAGTCCGATTGACATTCGAAGACATATCTCATGTGAAGTATGTGATTATTCTGTGAGTGGTGGCTATGATCCAGAATTAAATCAGGTGATTAAATCCTTAATGGCTCAACAACATGATTAACACCTTTATATTTAAATTTTAATCATTAAAATAAAAGTATTTTACAAAATTAAATATATTTTATAAAATAAAATACTTTTATTTATATAGGTTGAGTATACAATCAATTTCCCTTAATAAGTACAACATAATATAAATGTTTCTATGGTATTGATTATCTTGTAATGATGATGCAATTTGTTGGTATCGTTATGAAAATGAATGAAGGTTACTCAAATTCTGAGCTCTTTGAATGTATCAGCTGAAAGTAAATAAATCCTGACAAAAGCATTTAAAGCTGTGTTGACCATGAAGTTTACATACGAAGTGCCAGTGTTAGTAAAAATGCTAATGGTATCAGTTATCTATTAAATTTTATTCATGCAAATAAGCTTATCATCATAATATGTTTTTATCTATGAAACTATAGTCGACAATGTTGTAATAAAAGGCAATAATGGAAGACAATCCAACTCAATCTACAGCTGAGCTTTATGCAACTTTGACATTGAAACTTTCATCAAATCGAAAAGATAAAAAGCTAGATAAGTGTGTGCCACACGAACTAAGCGACCATCAGCGAGACTTACGCGTCGAAGCATGCATAGCCGACCATCAGCGAGACTTACGCGTCGAAGCATGCATAGCAGAAACGAGGGAATTTTGAATCAAATTGTTACCTGCGATGAAAAGTGGATCCTGAATGACAACCGTAAGTTTTCGTCTCAGTGGTTGACCCGTTGAGACCAAAACTTACGGGTACAGCACCTAATAAGTGCGCCAAAAAAAGATTACCTATAGGAAGATGATGATGACTGTCTGGTGGACCACTGTCTGACTTATACATCACAGCTTCTTACCGAATGGGACAACAGTGACAGCAGTTTCCTATTCAAGAATTGCAACACAAGAACTACGACTGGTTAAATGTTTTTCCCATTTTTTGTCCAAGACAATGCGCAAGGTCACACTACAGCCTATCGCAAGGATACAAGAGTTGCAGCTCTCGGTCACCCACTGGACTCACCAGACCATGCCCCATCAGATTTCTACTTTTTCAAAATTTAGATAATATTTTAAGTAGGAAAAAATTCAATACCCTTGAGCCACTACAAAACGCTTTCCCTGACTTCATCGCCTCCCGTCCAGATGACTTCTACAGTTAAGGGATAAACAAACTGCCATTAAAATGGCAAAATTGTATAGATACTTTGCGCCAGTACTTTGATTAGTTAAATTTAAAACAACCATTTTTTTTTATTTCAAAACTTTATATAAATCTCCAACTTGCCAATCCAACTCCAATTGCCTTTTGCAATTCATTCTTGGCTCTGCTGATATCAGTTCGATTTTAAATTATGTTGCATGACACATTATTTGCTACTGTTAATAAAACTTATTCTATTTACAGATAGTGGTGTGTCAAAATGTGTCAACTCGTCAAGGGATGGTCCAAGGTGTATTAGCTCATGAGATGATCCACATGTTTGACTATTGTCGTAATCAGTTGGACTTTAGAAACATGGAACATCTAGCTTGCACAGAGATCAGGGCTGCAAACCTTACCCATTGTTCCTTTACAAGTGCATGGTCACAGGGTGATGCTTCTTGGACTAAAATCAAAATGGCTCATCAGGTAATAATATCTTTTATAGGAGTTGTATTAATACTACACCCTCCCATCGTTGTTCTGGTCGGCATTTGTGGGCCAGCAATGCACTGGGGACTCTTCGAGTTGTAGGTGTCCATGGGCGGCTGTTGTCATTTACCATCAAGTAACCTGTGTTGTTTGACCAAAAAAAAATGTTTTTAACAGTATCCTTAAATACAGGTAGTATTTAAGGATACTGTTAAAAACATTAATTATAGTCATGAGTTAACTTTTAAAAGCGTCATCTCTGTAAGCCATGAATTTTGTCAAATACCTACTCCATTTTGAGAAAGCACTCTAGCTGAAATGATTGCAAAAGCTGGAATGACTGATGCTCGATAGCAATCAATGCTAGGAGGGTAGTCGACTAGTCGTATTTTAAGAATGGTTATTTGGTGTGACGTTTTTATTAGCTGTCTGGAATCATCAACAAAACATTTCACTAAGCTCTTCCTAAATATTTCTTTGAAACTTTATTGTGTTTTTAGGACTGTGTGAAAACCAAAGCATTATATTCTGTCATGGCTGTGAGACAGATCAGTGAGAAAGAAGCGATAGACGTGATAGAAAAAGTGTTTCCAAAGTGTTATGCAGATCTCGAACCTATTGGAAGGCGAATAAGACGAAATTCCGAAGATATGACGAGAGCGTTCAAAGAAGCCAAATATTATGGGTATGAGTAGAATATACCTTTTTATAGTTTATTTGTAGATAGTGTTATATGGAATGTGTTATAAAATGTAATTGTTGAAATAAAACAATCAGAAATGGTTTAAAATAATGTCTTTTATTTCATTATTTTTTTGTTTACTTAATAATTATTGCCTAAGGTTTTGTTAGATTTTTAATACTGCCTTACCACAGTTGTAGATAACAGATATGAATCACGAGTGTAACTCTAACATAATTAGTTAAGCTAATGACTGAGAAGGCACAAATTTTGTTCAGATGGTAGGAGTTAACTCTATGAAGAGTTTGTAACATTAATGGACCAAACAATACTTACATTTTAAATTTGTATCACAAAATGCTTAGGTCTTATACTAAGTTTTATAATGGCTGAATGGACAGGATTGTGAAAGGTTTTGAAATAGCATTTTGTGCATAAAAGTGATTTGTGCTAAAAATATACACAAAATAAAAACTATAATGAAAAATATGATTCCACTTAGGAGCTAAATGATCATAACCGCGAATGACTAGATGATACAATGACATTCATTTTTAGACTAAATTAATTCGGAATTACATTATTTCTATTTGCTTTTAATGTTAACAAAAATTTATGTGTATAAACAGGATATAAATATATATATTTACAGTGTGTGAGAACGTTCTTAGCCTTGACTTTAGATCTATATTAAGAGAAAGTGAGCGTTGACCGACATTAAAGAGCAAAAACTCTTCTACCAAAAAGAAAAAATAATTGGTTATCTAATTTAAAAAAAAAACTCATTAGTCATAACTCATGTTCATCAACTTCAGTATACACCACTGAAAAAAACAATAAATGACTGCGAGTCTGCAGATATTGCTGACCTGAAATTCAAACTTGATGAACTTCATGTGTTTTCGTGCGGTTTAAAATTTGTGGTGGTAGGTAATATACGTGTAACTCCAATACTAATATAAGTTTTTTAAAAGTCACTTTTAAGAAGACGGTGGTTCCTGTCTAGATGTTGTATTTAATTTGGTGATAATCGAAAAACGAAGATGTAGTAAGAAACAGATTATTTCTTTAATATTCTTGTAACCGGCTCTTCTATTGGGTCGGCGCAGTATGTATGATTTTTCCATTCTACTCTGTCTTGCGTCATCTCACTGTTTACTCCCTTCCTAGCCATATCCTCCCTCACGCAGTCCAAATCGATCTAAGTGGCGTGCAATGGGAGAGGCCTATGTCCAGCAGTGGACTGCGATAGGCTGATGATGATGATGATGATGAACCGGCTCTGTCTAAAATTAGTCCTGTGCCTGGCTTTTTAGTTTCAGGATGGAGAAGTTGGCAAAATTAGAACAATGAGACCGGAAAAAAAAATCCATAACATTACAAAAAAGTTCATCTAATTTTGGCCATTGTACGTATCATCTGCCTACCCTTTTCCCAATTTTATTTGGGGTCGGCGCAGTATGTATGATTTTTCCATTCTACTCTGTCATGCGTCATCTCACTGTTTACTCCCTTCCTAGCCATATCCTCCCTCACGCAGTCCATCCACCTTTTCTTCGGTCTGCCTCTTCTCTTGTACCCTTCAACTCCCATACCTAAAACTTTCTTCGCCACATTTTCCTCATCCCTCCGCATGACATGTCCATACCAAGATAACCTATTACTTCTTAACTTTTCATCCAGTGGCGCTACTTTCAGACTTCCTCGTATATACTCATTCCTAACCTTGTCCATCTGAGTCACACCACACATCCATCTCAGCATTCGCATTTCGGCTACGTTCAGGCGTCTCTCATCCGTTTTCTTAACGGGCCAACTTTCAGAACCATACAGGACGGCAGGTCTGATAATAGTTTTATAAATTTGTCCCTTCAGTGTTAAGGGGAAACTGGGGTCACAAGTTGTTCCCGTTACCTGTCGCCACTTCATCCATCCCGTATTGATTCGATGCTGTACAGTTCGATCAATCTCACCATCATATTGTAAGAGGGAGCCGAGGTACTTGAAATTAAACATCCAGCGAAATGGCTTGGTGGCTTGGCCATTGTACGTAGTGGGATTAAATTAAAGATATAATAATATAATTATAAAGAACATTGTTTGTGAAAATTCAGGTCTGCTCTTACGAGTATAAGTTTTCTTCTGGACTCAAAGTTAAACACAAGAAGTAAAATAAAAGTATAAGTGATAACAGGACCAGTGTGCTAGAGTGGCTACCTACAAAGTGTTCTTATAATTTCAACAAACTTATCCGGTTCATTATAGGAAATGGTGCTCATGGCAGTTATTAGTTTTCTTTTATTAACTTCTTACTAGCGCTTTTCATATTGTAAATGTGGCGAGTTCATTCTACAGCGCTACTAACCAGGAACATATTACAGCGCCATGTAACGAATAATAACCGACTACTACGAGATAACTGCTAATCTTGTATCGCGATATGAATAATTCTCTCTTCGATTAGCATATCAACTTTCCAACATCAACCGTTGGGCCGCGGCCCACCAGGCACGATCACCTCGCCTGGTCGGAGGATCCTCCCTTTGGAGGGACATGACACCCGTACCTCCACATAATGTTACAATTAGACAGCACCTATGATATTTATTTGGTTCACAACAGCAAAATTCGTTACTAATATGTTAATTCGTTATTATCGTTCTTATAGGAACTACATTACCGTAGAAGATAATAAAATATTCACTTAAAAATATGCATCCTGCTCACACAATCGTTATATAGGTGTTACGAACGCTCACCCTTTACTATCTGTTCTAATTTTTTAGGTAGAAAATACTTCATGCAAGTATATATACTTACGTATATATATGACAACAAAAATGTGAAATAGGTACATATTATTTAGGAATTAGTGATTCTATTTTAAATAACTAAAAATAGTTGCATCTGCCGTATCTGGCGAATATTGCGTACTTGAAATCAGAAATGCGCACGCACGCAATAATTATTTATAAAATTTATTTAACTTTTTATACATCATTTTACATGACATACACACATGTTTAACGTAGGCTCATACAAAATTAGACGTGCCCACAATTTAAAAAAAAAATTGTTGACTTGTGTTTTTGCCTGGATTTCAATAGATTACTCTTTATGTCATACACGTAAGTATTTATGAAGGACATACGGTTTTAAGGTACTCATACGGTACTCACATGTGTATTTTAGTTTCAGATCCGATAGAGAACCTTTTTCAACGCTTTATTAGATTAGCACCGCCTCCAACGACTTTTATGATGTAAAAGAGAGCGAAAACCGATATGTTTGTTGTTGTAACCGTATGTTGCAGTGTTTTTTTTACGGTGTTATCAGGTACCGCGGTCCACACTGAACGATATCAGTATAAAGACAAATGATTTATCAGAATTATCATTAACAAAATAATTGACCTGCCATTTTTCTGTTTAAACACGGACATCGACTTATTTCTTATCAAATTGTTTAGCGACTGATGACCTATTACTGTTCACAGTTTTCATATGGCGTTGGTGTGTATTACTGGTCATGTTGCGATGCTGTAACGAGGTTCTATCATATAGCTAACGCTATATTCAGAGGAGAGCGGTAGGCTGTCCGGGTCGAGTCAAAATCGTTCTGATGCCGTGTCTAGGATTCTTAGTAACGACCGTCGTTAGTAACCAACGACTGTGTGGTGACGGATTAAGAATACGGAGTGTCACCACTCCTATTCGTTCCGTGGATGTCATAAGAGAAGGGAGAAGTAGAGCGGGAGAGAGCAGACTACGTAGTAACAACCCCTCTGGGCAGTGTGGTGTAGTAGGCCAAAACCTCCTTTCTAAGGAGAGGCCCATGTCCAGCAGTGGACTATTAGAGGCTGTGGATGTGATGTGTGTTAGTAACGACAGGAACATGTATATGGGTGGAATACGTTTAATATGGCGGTATTACCTATCACACTCGTGATCTCCTTACCACTGGTATCTGTTTCCATCAATTTATATTCCGTATCTATTTTATATCCTTTACTAGGAATTATCGATCGCATAGGTTAAGATCAGTGATTTAGGTACAAGTACAGGCGAAGATATCTTTTGGTTTGGTGTGTTGGTTTTTACGTTTCACTCATGTTAGTTGGCTGTTCAGGCCACACATATATAATATTCCATTCTTTCCTTCTTCCAGTGTGCATAAAATCCTCTTATTCATTGTGTCCAGTTATCTCTAAATATATTTTCGGCGCAACCGGTATCCGGTTTTATCGTTGCCTTTCCCCTAACACTGTCCAAGTCAATTTATGATTTTTTTTACCAATTCAGTGGCAATACTGATCACATCGAATTTAAATCCACTTGTAAATAATAGTCACCTCTTCCCACTAATTAGACACATGTAAGAAGCCGTCAGTACCTACGTTTAACTGGAATAAATGTATGAATATTTACCTACGGTGTGTTGATTTTGAGACGAAGGCGATTATTGATTCTTTATTGCACTAAGTCAGAATGCGCCAGCTTAGCCCTTTCACAAAATAGCGTTCAGTTCCAGACAGATATACATACTTATATGAAAATATTATTTTCTTTATCTGTATATATTTTACTTTTATTTAAGCTTAACATTGAGAAGATATTCACCCATTACTTTTCAATGAATTCAATAACTTAAATGAGTTTAATTGATAGCTAAAAGTTTATTGTGTACAAAATTTCTATAGCTCGTCACCTTATTTATTCCTAAACGATTTAAAAATAATAAATGAGCTAAAATGAGCACTACAATTTATATGATATTGCTATTATCTCAGGTCTTAAAATTACTTACAATTCTTATAAACAAAATTTGATATTACAGTATTCTATTACTAGGCATTACTGTAAATGCCTTTTATTTTTTTCAAAGTCAGGATTAAAACATGATCTTCCGGATAATTATAATCTTCTCTAAAACAAATAAATGAATTAGTGTAAAAAAATAATCTTGTAATTGCCTTATATACAACATCTAAGTATTTGATAAACAAAAATGTTCGATGTAGACGCAAGAAAAAGCAAGTAGTTACAATAACATTCCGTAATTTTATAAATCTGTTAAAAATAATTTAAAATCTTAGTTCCAATAGATGCGAAATTCGTTGCAACATAATTAGACCAGACAGGCACCTTATAGAGGCATTATATATAGTTTTGTACTATTGAGCTTAACTGTGGTCCCCATGCTGCCGGCTTTCTTAAAGATATTATTGTTTTATACAAGCTATAAGTTATTCTTAACTCTTCTCAAAGGATTTGTTTCTGAGCATCTCTAAGATTTCTAAATACTCTTTGAATTGCCTAGCGTCACAGTACTTAATATAAATGACTTATTTAAACAACTGATATAATACAAGGCACATTTACAGCTCTTACTATCTATTAAGAATAATATTTACATACGTTTTTGTTGAACAAACACTTCGTTTATAACTAATGATCAACCGCACTGTAGACCAGCAAAATATAAAGTTCAGAACATTTCGCGCAGAATATTCAACTTATTCGCTACAGCTTAATAGCTACAGGGGTCACACGATTATATTTCTAATTCGACTAGTACATTTATCTAATATGTACAACAATGTCATAATGTCTGCGTAGGCACTAAAATCACAAACTTGGTGATATGGTCGTGCTTGAAACAATCACAAAATAGCGTTCAGGTAACTCGTCGATACGCTTCACTGAGGTATGTCGTCCAGTAGACAATGTTAAACAGCAAGAAACACAAAGGGAAAACCATGAGTGCGAATTTATCGAGGGTTCCATGTTGGGCGCCACAAAACATAACGCCTCGGTCGACCACTGTGCCGACTCGTGTCATCAAATTGCCTCCTCCGTTAGCTGACGGCATGGACTCAAATATTGGAGAATCCTAAAAGAAACAGTCGTCACTATATTTTTGTGTAAGGTCATAATGCAATATTTACGTCTATAATGTATCCATTTCTAAATCTACTCAATCTATCACGTAAAAGGCATTTTTGATAATTATTCAATCATATTGGCATTTATACAGATGACGTTGTATTTTCTGCTTTCGACTTAGTGATGATAAGCAGTGCAACTAAATTATGACTAAACTTTAAGAGTAATTTACTTGTACGCATAATATTACTAGTTTGTATTGGTAAGTTAAATGACTTTAAACTGTTGTGAATCTATTCTCTACAAATCAAACCACCACAATCAATTACCATCTGCTTTAAAATATTATTGCATTTGTTTATATCACTGGCATGCACTAAGCTTGCTTGCCAATTTATTTTGTACGTTGTCAGATTTGTCAGGAAATTACTGTCTAAACTATTTTTAATTGTGTATCAAGGATAACTGCAAAATAGCTCTAGTCACACTGTGCAGTGTTTTCTTTAAATTGAAGTTTACCTGACTGACAGATCTTGTTTCACATCCGACCTTATTTTGTCTCCAATTCCTTCCCGAGAGAGACTAGAAATTGGTGGCCTAAGTTTAAAAATTAATGCGCCTAAATAATACGTGGTAATTTATAATATTTCACATGCAGTGTAATACTACACTGGATTACTGGAGGGCTCGGTAAGTATTTTATGTTAAGAGGTAGTTTATATTTAGTGCTATTTACCCTCTGTATAGTTTGGTGGTCCATTTGTTGCTTTAATCCGTCGTCTTCGACGCTCAGCGTCGGCGAGAACATACCACCCTGTGGTGTACCAGTCACCGGTGTACTCAGCCTCTGTGAAGGTAATGTCCAGCTGTTAATGCTACTGTTTTTTTTTACTATTGTACACTATGTAGTCTATTTCTTGTGGCTCGTCTGGTGACGGATTGTTTTTTCATGTAAATTTGAAAATGACACTTGCCTGTGAGTGATTGATATGTAATGGCGGAGGTGCTAACTGGGCTGAAGATGCAGCTCGACGTAAGTCTGCGCGCCGCCTACTCCAACTTTTGTCGTAGCGAATGCCAAAGAGTACCACGAAGTACTCCATTAGTGCGAGGAACACGAATATCGTGCATGAGATCAGCCATACTTCAATGCATTTCAACTCAAGGGCATCTGGCGAGTTTGTGCTGGAATGACAATTTGAACAAAATTAGTTTTTTTTCTTTTAATGGCATGGGGGCAAACGAGCAGACGGGTCAGCTGATGGTAAGTGACTAACGCCGTCCATCAACTCAAGAGAAACAAGTGCGTTCTCGCTTTTTAAATATTGACACCCCAGGATAAGGACTTGGTGAACTCACTCACTTGAGGACAGGACTTGATGAACAACAACTAAAGAATTGCCTAACCAATTTTCTGTGAGGCCGGGATAACTTTTCGACCGAGCCGGCCGAAGTGTTACCCCGGTTTGAGAAGCATGTCAAGCTGATATTGGTTATAGGTATAGCTGTTGTCTTGGTTATGTTTACTAATTTTTTAAAGTACCTACATTTTACTATTATTGTCCTGATGTTTTTTTTTTCATCATCATCATCAGTCAATCGCAGTCTACTGCTGGACATAGGCCTCTCCCATTGCACGCCACTTAGATCGATTTTCGGCTTGTCGCATCCAGCTCCTGACAGCCATCTTGGGCAGATCGTCACCCTTTGTTTTTTTTTTTAAATGCTATTATTTACTTAAAGGAAATTGTTATTCCAAAATATTCTATAGCTCACAGATAATTTCTCTAAAGGTAGTAAAGTTCAAAATAACAAAGTAAATGTAAATGAATACATTTTTATATTACTTGAAGAAACTATTCCTAGTCTACATCCTTACCTGACTGTGTCGAACATGGTGACAAGTGAGAGCAATGTGGTAACCAGCAGTACCATTCGTCCAGGCACAATCTCAGGAATAACGCAGAAACTGCCCCACGATATAATAACAAACAACGAAGATGGCAGGTAGCTTTCTAACAGGTAGCTCCTAAGCTCGCGCGAAAGTTTGATTTGGAGCCGAGCCGTCGAGTGACTACCTATAATAAATAATCTTAATTTTAACATTTAGACAATTAAAAATCTTTTGATAAAAGATGCTTTTGAATGTACCTAAGTTTTAATTAATTCTAGGGCTCCCCGCCAGCAATTATTGCTAGCCGGTGAGAAGGGCTGGCGTGCAGTGGTCGCAAAATGCGATCGGACTGCAACTCATATTGATTGGGCTGATAGGCGGGAGGAATCCCGCTTTTCCGAGATAGAGCCTGGCTAGGCGCGGCGTCGATCCGGTGGGGGGGGGGGGGCCTGAAATAACAAGGTCCGGGTCCTCCCCAGAGCAGGGCGCCTGAGACCGGCTGTCGAGGTGGTTTTCAGTGAAAACATCACATACTCCTGGCTCCTATATCCCTGAGGAGTTCCGAAGAAATTTTCCACCCCATCCACATAAGGAAAAAAAAAGGTTTAAGCTATTTATTGGTGAGTCCTAGTTGTATAGGTAGTAAGACTCTTGCCATTTACTACTTAAAATATCACGAACACTTTATACTACAGAGTTTGACAATGATCAATAATATTGTTTAAGGGAATTAAAAGTTGCAAAAATTCAGTTTTAGCATTAACAATCTGAACATACAACAACACACACAACTAAATATCAATCATGCATAACAGGCATTCACTTCAGAAACATATTGCGAGGCACGGATGTTAAATAATAATAGTTGCATAAAAGTTACGGAATTAGACAGTTCTAGACTGTTTTCCAAACTTTAAAATAATGATCCATTGTGATCATCCGGGCCAAGCAGTGCGGGCGGCATGCCAGCGGACAGCAACATGGCAATAGCGTTAGTAGATATATAGTTAGTTACGAGGCGCAAACGTAAGCGCAAAGCAATAAATATACATTTACCTTCACCAAAATTGCGAATATGATTACTTTTATCCATGAGGAAGGTGACTACATATTTTGGAAGCCGGAACTGGTTGCGTTGCTGGTTGTTACCGCGGCCCATCCAGGGCGCCACGTCACTCCACTCGAAGCGCACGTCTTGCGTTGTGTATTTATCTATAATAAGAACCGTTAGAAAACGTCAGCCTCATCATCGTAAACTTGTTAGACTACAATCGTAAACGACTTCAGAAGCGAATGAGAAAATCTATAAAAACATTGAGGTGTAAATTCAAACGTCTGGCTCGTAGACAAAACATGCAATACATTCTAGAGTAAAAAATGTAGTAATTGCCGTTATGTGAAATGTTTTCCTACTCGCATTGCTTTTCACAAGTAGGATAATTACTAGAAATTTCCTTATGGTTTTATTTCATTTAACTAAACATGGCTATGATTATATTTATTGAGCGAAACCTGAGCTTTAGGAAAAAAATATATTCCTCCTAGTCAAAATTTAATGAAGAAGTCAAGTCCCATAACGAAGATATGTGACTGAAGTATAAAAGAAGTCCGTACTTGAAGAACATCCAATTACAACTGGCGCAATAAGGTTTATTAAAATAAAGAGTCAATTTCAACTAATTTCATTATTATATCCTAGCTCTACCAGACATTGCTTGTGTGTTTAAAGCTTTTTAAAATTTACTCATAATACGACCAGTATTAAAGAAAAAAACACTATGTATTAAGTGCACTTACAACTACTGAAATCCATGTCACAGCTCTGTACATCCAAAGGATACAGAACAAAATCCATTTCACACTTGATTGTTATGGTCGCACTGTAAAGAATTTAGAAGGTTATAAAAAATAAATTAACTTCTTCAAAAATTATTGTAGGTAACAAATTCAATGAATAATAAAATACTTTTTAAATTCCCAGATACATTCTGTGATGAAACATGAAGCTTTTAAAAATATTGTTAGATGCTAAGTAATTAAGATTCTTCTTAATATAATGATATTATTAATAACACCTTTACTTTACTACAGTGCTATCTGATGCAAAATCATAATGCCAAATTAGAAAAAAAAATGATTTTGGGCTATGTTGTAGTTGTGTAGGCGACATCGTTCTACTTGAAACAGCACATGAAAGTTCTGACTGCTTTGAAGACCATTATTAGCAGGCGGTCAAATCTATAGGGGTGATGTGACAGAATTTGACAGAGTACGATTTTAGTCTTTTCTAGTTTTATGTAAGTTTTGTGGTGCCTCACATGGAGTTTTTTATATGTGAAAAATGGAAAGGAAATTTATATCAAGAATATAACCTAGTAACAGTAATATAGAAGCACTAATACCAGGTGTAAGCAAAGGTGTAGTAAACTCTGTCATATTGCCGATTATAATTTTAATCCTGCTATATAGGTAATAGAAGGCAAGCAAATCGCTATAGCGCCAAGTTGATGGCGATTTGCTTTGCGAATTTCTATAGAAATTATATAGAAAAGTTGGATGTTCAATATCAAAGAAAAACTAGATAAAAGTGTAAACCGTTAAACTAAAATATTAAAAACAGTGCGTATAAACATATTAAATAAATAGACGAACCCAATACTGACTGAGACGGTGCGGTTGGCGTAAAGCCTCAGAGACGTCATCTCTTGAAGCACCGACAGTATTCTCATGGTCTGAAGCTGCCAGATGTAAAGGTCTGGTGTCCAGAGAAGCTGTCGAAACTCCCAGGGCATATCAATAAACGGCTTGTTAGGTGGCACGTGGAGACGGCTATCTGACCACGAGACTTGTAGAAATACGTCTAATGTTATCTCCTGCAATAATAAAAGAGAATAAGTGTTATAGATAGATGATGTGATAGATGTGTCTATAAGTACAATGGAGAACTAGTTATTTTGGTAAACTGGTTAATGTAAAAAAAGTGCTATGCTAATTGTCAGTGTTTAAGTTGCCGCCTAAGACGATTAAAGCACCTTATTTTTTGCCGTTATATCCTCAGCCACGAAAGTCTATTCAATTTTGTTTACCAATAACATTTAACGACGTACCAACATCCTGTATTTTTTAGACAATGAATCTGGAGTGTAATTTCAGATTATCTTCCATGATTGTTTAATGAGACACAATATACGCATTTGTATTATTTGCTGTTACAAAATAATATTTACGAGTCTTTAACAGTACTTAAAAAGTTCATCAGCGATATCGAAGCTAGACTTTGTATGTTTTTTGTAATGTAAATTATCAATGACGGGATATCGCATACAGGTACCTATGGTTAACTTTGTTGCAGGTTAGCTTCAAATAGTTAATTTTACTACGTATTCAAATGATTGCAATACTATGATAATGGAGTCCTGTACAGAGCGATGGTCTTGGACAGAGAATTAATCACTAGGGAGACCAGGATTCCTGTTGTTTTGTCTTTCTCGTATTATGCTATCATTGTTTACTTTACTATGAGAGAGTGAAAGTCGTTTTCTAGTGAACACAAGTAGTATTGACTAGACACATAATTAAGTAAAATGGAGAAAGAACATATGCACAGAGGAGTACACATTTCAATTCGCGTTGTTTTTATGAGAAGTTGGAGAAATGAAGGGATCTCTTTTTTTTAACACTTAACGCAAAAAGGATGCGGTGATAGATGTCATATCATGAGTGAATGTAAATCTGTATACTGATTTTGATGTTTTTTTTAGAAAATTAACTTGATCTAAAGTTCGACGTTAGTTCCGTCAGCAGAATTATTACGGCGGTATTAGGATTGTCAGAGGATTCCCTTTTTGGATTGGGGTTAACGTTTTAAATTTCAAATTAATAAACAAAAACCAACAACAGATGCTGCATGACCTAGCTGACTCTTCTATACGCATCGGCCTATGGATGAACTTGGATAAAAACAAGGTCATGTTCAATCAACATGTAGTACCGGAACCGATTGCGGTATACAGTGCCGTTCTCGAAGTTGTTCAAAATAATATGTACCTCGTGCAGACATTGCATTTAGGTAGAAACAACTTGGGGTGCGAGTTGGGTAACCTCCATGTGCATCGCCGTGTTTCTTGTCCCTCATAACCACTGTGTCCGGGGGAAACGGAAGCAGGGGGCAGGTGAATCCTGGGCGACGGTCAATAGCTTCCCTTTTAGGGGTTCCTCTGTTCATCAGAGGAGACTGGACGAGCGAAGGGGTTGTGGGCAGAGGCTGAGGTGGGATCCGTATGGAATCCTGAGGCGGGTCGGCCCACTGCTTACGCAGGGGTTGACATGCACTAGTGCTGCCACCAGTGAGGGAAGGTAAGCCACCCTCTCGCATTTCGTAACACACAGGGGTTCGGAAACGACCCAACTGGTGGCTCCAGGAGGGTACGCTGAGAACCTGTTAGCTGGAGGGCTTGCCTTAATTGTGACAAGCAGTAAAATATCCGACAGCAAAGTCGTTAAAACTTGTGGATTTCAGCCGACCTCCACAGTTATTGGCTTATCCGGGTGCAGGGACACCGCTCGGATTGACTTCATTTCCCCCATACTCGTGAGATTTAATATAATAAAATGAAACCAATTTTAAGAGAGGAGAAGCGCTTGCCTAAGGCAAGAGAGAGAGTGTCGAACGGCGGTTGCGGTCGCAATCATTAAAAACACCTTTCTCCAGACCCTTCACTCCGCTGCCGCTAGATGGAGGTGAGCGAGGCGAAGAAAGGGATAGCTTAGCCTCGATAGGGTCGGAGAGGAAGACACGCCGCGGAAGTGGGGGAATAGTCTATACGATGATGAGGCCGGAACTGGTTATGCGAAGTGTCAGTGACGCAAACCGGCCGAACTCAGCAGAGGTTGGCACCCAAATGCTGCTAAGTCTGGTTAATGTCGAGGAGACATCGGACAGACCTCGCAACACGAAGACGGAGCGAATGAGCTCCATTCGTCGGTGCCTGCAGACTCTGCGGGACTTCGTTAAGGAGCTTTGCACCAAGGCGGTGTCAAGCGAGTACGAGGAGGCGTCTGTGCAGAACCAGGCGTCATCATCGTTGCTAGCGGACCGGGTGAGGGATCTCCAATAGGAGAACGAATCTCTTACCCAGATAAAGTCAGTGGCACCATCTTCGGCTTCCCTCAACACTGCGCCCGGACCTGATGGTATTCCATCTCGGGCGCTGGTGATAGGTCTGTCGGTACCTGGGGACAAACTGAGGCGGATTTTCACAGATTGTCTTAGCCTCGGTGTCTTCCCCCTCGGCTGAAAAGAAGCGAGACTGGTGCTCTTGAAAAAGGAAGGAAGAACTGAAGATTTTCTCTCTGCGTTCCGACCGATATACCTGCTAAACGAGTCGGGAAAACTCGTTATCTCCGATCGTATCAGCGGGCACCTGTCGCGAGTAGGCCCTAATCTGTCGGACTGCCAGTTTGGATTCCGACGGAGGCGTTCGACAGTGGACGCTGTCAGGTGCCATCGCTCCATTTCGGAGTCGGCAGTTCGATCAGAGGGGGAAGCGTTGGCGGTTAGCCTTGATATCGTCAACGCGTTCGGCATCCTCCCCTGGCAGGCGATAAGACCGGCGCTTGAATTTCATGAGTTGCCGCTCTACCTGCGGGCCGTCATTGGGGCCTATCTGCGTGATAGGATAGTGAAGTTTATCGATCGGAACGGGGTGGAAAATATAAAAGTAGAAACAACTTCGAGGAACAGTGAAGTGAGTGAACAGAAGAATTTAGTTGGGTTGGGCAGCGTTTGTGAAGCTATGTCGAGTCTTCTCATCGTCGATCTCACAGTGCCTTAAGACGATCTTCAATGAGTGAGTCATACCCGTCATGACATGGAGCCGAAACGTGGACACTTACGGTACGGCTAATCCACAAGTTCAAAGGCGTTCAACGTGCTATGGAAAGGGCTATGCTCAGCGTTTCTCTAAGGGATTGCAACAGGAATGAGGTGATCCGGCAGAGAACCAATGTTACCGAGGAGCCAGCTTTGTCATCTTTGGACTTATAGCAGTTAACTGCTGGACATTGGCCTCTCCCTGAGATGATGGCTGGCTCGCTGATGATGACACGAAATCATTTTTTTTTAATACGTACCTCCTTATTCTCATCTACTCCAGAAACTCGATTGATATTTACGCCTACGTATACTGTTGTGTTTTTATCTGGAAAACAATACAAAATTGATTACATATTAAGAATACTAAGTCATGGATGACAAATTGTTGCAAAATAATCGGTTTTATTTTATCGCTTAGTTGCTACCGATCTAGAGTTGGAGAGACCGAGACCCTGTTATAAAAGGGTCTCTCAGTAAGAGTGCACTTTTTCATTTTAAAATAAAAACACGTATTTAATGAAAGAGTTGTGATATTGTTATTGGATTGTAAAGAAGATATGTTTCGATTAAGTATAGCATAAAATGTCCGGCAAATTGCCCCCACGGCTCTGATGACAGGCCATTACTCTTTTCATAAAATTTGAGAGATGAGGCCGAAATTTGCCATGACTTTTATACAGAGATGTGGCTGTTTTCACCGATGACGCGTTGGATCTTTGATTTGAGACCAGGAGTTATTTCTGGTTGATTCGCATAAACCAGACATTTCACAAAACCTAAAGAAAAAAATCTTGATGGCCAGTAGACATCAGAATTTCATGAGATAATGTGTTCTGGAATAAGTCGATTGTTTCATGCGGGGTGTGGCAGGTGGCGCCATCCTGCTGAAACACATGTTGTCCAGATCAATGCCGTCCAGTTGAGGCCACAAGAACTCCGTTATCATATTGTAATGAATGCCGTTCACAGTCACTGCAATTTCGTACTCATCTTCAAAAAAAGTAAGACCCAATCACGCCGCCAGACCAAAATCCGCACCAGACAGTTGATCGTCGTGGGTGCATTCGTGTCTCATGGATTGGATGAGGATTGAGCCCTAAATCCGACAATTTTGTGTATTCGCGTAGTCATTCAGATTGAAATGCGCTTCATCGGAGAAGATGACTTTTTTGGAAAATTGGCGTCAACTTCACTTTGCTCTGTTACGCATTGAACGAATTGCCGGCGCTTTCCATGTTATGCTAGTTCGAGCTCCTGAGTTAGCTGAATCTTGTACGCATGAAGTTGGAGGTCTTTGTCAAAATTCGCTTCTTAGTGCCACGTGAAATTCGGCAACACTCTCGCTTACAGCAGCAGTGTGTTCAAGTAGACCGCCCGGTACGTTGACGCAAAGACTCTTCGCATGGTTGACATATTAGGTGCACTTTCTCGACTGAAAAGCTGGCGAAGTTTGCGAGCGGTTTCAGCGTAACTTTCCCCATATTTACAATGAGTTTTCACAATTATAACGCGATGTTCTGTCGAAAATCGATCCATTTTTAATAATCGGAATAAACATAGGGGGACAGCTGCATTGGAGTGGGAGTTCTCTCGCTCGATAGCCTGATTGCGGCTATCGTGCGGAGGGAGAGTGAGTGGAACTCTGCCGTCTCCTTCTGCGAGCAAGTTATGCTCGCGAAGGAGACGGCGGAGCAGGACCGGGAGAGGTTTAGGACTCTTCCGGCCGGCCGGGAACGGGCCAGGTACGGCAGGCGACTCAGGCGCCGGAGGTCGCAGAACGACCTCCGACCTCCATAAGCGCAGGCCTGGGGGTGACAGGTGAGGCCATCTGTCACCCTAGCAGAAGCAGGCCGGGGTGGCGGCGAGTGCGTTGCGAAGCGCGCTCGCTTCCAGGGAGCAGAAGGAACATGGGGTTCGCACACGGGGGGGTCGTCTACTCGTTTGTAAATGGCATGTCGGGGCACCAGGGACTTCCTTTCTAGGGTATACCTGGTTCCCCGGCTATTAGTACCAGAGACGGCGGGCGGTTTTAGTCGGTTCGAGTCCGACATGCCACCGATGGTAACCGAGGGGATTTCCGCACGGAAAAAAAAGGGGGACAGCTGTCAAATTTCAGAGTTGCACGAAAAAAAAAGATTCTTCATTTAAAAAGTGCACTATTACTGAGACACCCTTTATTATAGAAAGTGTATACAATGACAGATAAAGTTCCACTAATCAATAAAGTAAAACAAAACAGTCAAATTTTAATAACATCGATAATTTGGCCACCCGGGCATCTACAGTACAGAATAGATTTAGTAGGACTGATTCAGTTTTCTAGCTTAAATGTACTCGTATACATTACTAGCATAAGTACATAGATAGGTAGGTAAACAAACGTCCATGAATGTTCGTGATGCAAAACCATTAGGATTACTGGATTTCAGTTTTATTACTTTTGTTTTAGACATAGAATGTCTCATCGCTTATAAATTATGACAATAATGTGATGAATATAGTTTAAATTAATTAAAATATAAATATTAGAAAGATGGATACTTTTATTATGCATTGTATGTACATTTTTGGTTTTGTACTAGTTGATTTCCCTGTCGTAGTAGCTGTGGCCCAGGTTTCTGTGCCGTTTTCCGTTCCAGACTTGCGGTATCCACTATGTCGTAACGATTGACCGGGATTTAGTATCAATAGCAGTTCTGGCTGAAGATGAAGAGAAACAAATACGAACTGATACGTTGAAGAAAAATCATTCTTCCGTGGAAAAGCCTTCCCTCGGCCAAATGGGCCGGCTGACCCGGATTGACACGACGGAATCAGAGAAAACCGGTGTTAAGCAACTCTTACGATGTTTTTCACAGAGTGAGTGAGGTACCGGAGCCACAAACTGTGGAGGTATTTGGGGCTCTGGTAACCTCACCCCCTAATTTGGAGGGGCGGGAGGGACTCAAAGAGCAGCAACGTCTCTGTGACTCTCGAGTCGCAGTCGAGTATCTATAGGTTAAACTGTTCGCTCGTTTAGTTTCGTCGTTTGCTGTATCATAAAAAAGCTGTTTTTGTACACCAATTTACCTTCTTCCTTTGGCTCGTCCGAAGACGATTACATTCCCCCACCATTGTTACAACACGGCGACAACACACGATTACAACACGGCAACCGTCAGGCAATTCCCGAAATTGGGTAAATTGTAGGAAAATGAGGATCATAATATACATTTTTGATTGTTTTTTTATTTCAAACTTGTACATGTATAAACCATACCGTTTTTCGGTTTCGGATTTCTCTGATCGGTAAGAATACACATTGTTGCGTATTTGTGAATTTTAATGTATTACCGAACAATTAGTAGTGTTACTCACTTCAAAATGTAAGTCTTCAGATTTAGTTAAGTCAGTTAACCAATGGTACAGTCTTATAAAATGTTTTAGGCATTTTGCTTTTAATTTTTTATTTTATAGAATATCCAACAAGAAATACAACTTGCATGCCAGTTTTACTGCAAATAAAATTTTAAGTATTGTGCTTCCTCAATTAAAGGAGACCACAACATGGACATTTCAAAAAAAAAAGATTACACACAGTGGCCACAAATGGTCTTAGTAGATGAAAAAAAAAAACTCATGAAAGAGTTATTTTTTGTTATAACAATTAATTGTGCAAAAAATAGTAAATCAATTGTAGTTCAAATTAAATGGTAAGTACGAGTAATTATGTCAACTATTAAACAGTGTTCAAAAGTAAACAGTGTATTATCACGTTGTTTCGTAACATTTCTCAACAGTACTTTTTGTTTAGTGTTTATTGTAATTAGTTCCTGACAAGGGTCATCATCATCATCAATAGCCTTTTATAGTCCACTGCTGGATATAGGCCTTTCCATAGAAACCATACCATTTTGGCTACCATACCACGCTGGTCAGACTTGTTGATATAGGTTTGTTCTAAGTTTTTCTTCTTTTTACAGTGCCACCACAATGACAACAAATTATAATGACATGGCTTTCGAATAAAATTTATTTGAGTTTTGAATTGCGCGCCAATTCACAGATAATTAAAAATGAAAATGCTGGTTTTGAAAATGACCAACTTCATAGGTAAAGACCTATTATATCTTTTATATACGTATGTATTATCTCACAGTGAGATGTGTTTATTATTTAATTTTCTTGTTAAACATTAAAATTTTATGGCGTATTTAAATTATGTCAACTATCGTAAACCCGCTATAACTTTACTAAAGAACCCCTAAAGTCTCAATCGCTAAAAATTTTTCGAGCAGATCGTCGTAAACCAAATGATTGGCATAGAGCATAATCAATAGCATAGAGATAAATAAGAGGATTGTTTTATTAGGACTCCGTAATCTGAATTTATGAAAGTTGGAGTTGTGGGTAATTTTAGCGTCAAGGTAATTGGTGATCACTATGACCATACAATTGACCACAACGATGCCGAACAAAGTGGAACTGAATAGCTAAACAATTGCTTCCATAAAAGAGAAACTTTTAGGCACAAACACAACTGTAATCGGGTAACATAATACAATGTACTTATACTGCAATAAGAATATGTTAATTCTTGTGTATAAAAAACTATGGTGGATTTTTTTATTGCCTAGATATTTTTACACACCTTAATGTACAAGAATAGATAGTACGAAAATAATTTTAATTGTATAGTAAACATCAGCAAACTTTAAATGTTTATAGACGTTTAAGAATGTAACATCTATGAATTAAAGTAAAAGTAGCAAATGTATATTAAGCATAATAAACAGTCGTACTAGGGGCAAAAATGTTTCTAACATAACATATACACTTCATTTGTATTACTTGGTGAAAGAAACTGAACAAAGGAATCGCTTTCAATAAACAGTATGTAGTACATATAAGGTACTTAGTACGGAAGTGGGCCAATAATTAGCTAGGCACCTTTATTACATACAGCAATCACCTATAGCTTGACTAATGATTGGGTTTGCCGCAACCTGCGGCATGTTTTGCTGAATAATATCCGCTACTAAGTGGATAGCCTACGAACGACCTCATATCAGCCCACGGTTCGTGACTTTTAAAAAAACTTATCTATGACGTTCTAAACTCGGTATAAATAGATTTAGACCATTCATCTTTTAATAAATGGAGGTAGAACTCACCGGGTGGAATGTTTCTGTTGTAGCTCTTTGGAATATCGTAGACGTGCTGGTCCAGGTACAGGATCTGGCTGGAAAAAAGTTATCATAAATTAGACACTTAAATATGTTAGTATTAATAGTTCCCCTACTGTTCGAAATTTAAACATGTTATAGGAAAAAAGGTTGCAGTTTTTTTTAAAACACTGAAGTCCGTTAATATTGACATGAGAAAACTAGTAAAGAAAATTAGTTGAAGATTAAAGTGAAAAAGGGTGCTCTCTGCCCCATTATTGTATATTTATTTAAGAAATGGTTGTATTCCTGTGTTGTTTGCGGGAATGTCCGACTATATCATTATGTTACGGGAATTAACGCACTCACGATAGAAATTAAGTATATTCCTTTAAAATGCCTAACGTTGCGACCAGGTTTGCTATGTAAGTTATCAAGTTGATTAGTATACACACAACTTCACAACATCACCATCAACCTGTTGGCTACCGTCCGAGGATCTGTTTACGTTAGAGCTAAGTAACAACCGATTTTATGATAACATATTAAGTTTAAATGCGCCAAAGTGTATTTGACAGTATAAATAATAACAAAAATTAAATAATAGAAATGCCTTCGATCAACAATAGCAACTGTTGATCGAAGCGAAATGCATACACAATAAATGATGTCAATATTATACTAAGCAAATGTATGAACCCAGTCAAGGGTTTGTTATAATGAGTATTTGTAATAAAAATTGTATAATTATCAGGCAACATATGTTTATGAAGCATTTTCTTATTTATTTTTAATAATTTATACTGTCAGCAAAAAGTTCCTAAGTTTTCTTTTTTTTATGAAACAGATAGTCATGCTTGGCATTTCTCTATGAGAAGATTCGATACTATTTGATAAATCACAGAAACCGACAAAGGTATGGTAGGTAGGTTTCTTTAGATAATTTTTTTTGTTCCTTTTTAATTTAGCATAACGAGTTAGGCATGTTTTTGTCATAAGAATACTTTTACATAATTGTTTTTTGGCATACTATTTCTGTAGGCATAAATATCATTTAAGTAGGCTAATATTTTTTGCCCTAATTTTGATCGGCATAAACATCAATCGACCTAATAGAAGCATAGTTTAGTTAGCTATACGTATTTATTCATAATTTCCATGTAAAATAGACAAGTATATATGTTACTTTAATAATTGATATGCATTGAAAAATAAATAAGTAGGTAATATATCTAAAATAATTTGTGTACCATAGTGTAACAATAAGTTAGGGTGCGGCGGCCTCAGCCGCCAACGTGTTGATTTTATATAAGATAAGATTTTTACTTAAAATATAAATGTAAAATAGCATTATGCGTAAAGAAATTTATGCTTTCTTTGTGTAATTTATGTTTAACAATTATTGTGCTAATAGTAGTTATGCTTAAAAAAATTGTGCCTAAACAGTTATGCCAAAATATATTGTGCGTAACTATTATTAGGAAAAGTAAAAGTATGGCGTGTTAAATTATGACATATAATTTTATGCGGACAAATAGGGAACCGCTTAAGAGCTGAAGTAAAACTAAGGGAATGTCGCACAATTCGATACACCAATTATTGGCAAGAGATGGTAACTAAGACTGCAGTAAGTTAAAGTAGCTCAAGTTCTAGTGCATCATGTTCATGATTTCATTCTGATTTTCACAATAGTTCTGTTAAAATCTAACTGGCCATATTATGCGTATAAATATACTTTGTCCATAAATATAATTACAGCGAAACAAGTCCCTTTGTGACGCATTTTCTTTATCGTGCAAGTATCCCGTACTTTCGTAGATAATATTCACCGAAAAGAGATTTTCTAACAATATACCCAATACCAAATTAGTTGTTCTGGTAACTGAGCTAACACAACACTTTTATATTCGTTGGGGACTTGGGCTTTCATAGCTCCATGGAACAGAGAGAGTGAGCGTTTACAGAAAGAATGCACTCTGCTTTTGCTTATGACTAATTATCATGCTGGTCGAGAGATTGAGAAGTAACTTTATTTATTTATTTTTCAAATTAAACAAACTTAAATAAATACACGATAGCTCTGATAATCATCACCGTTCGCATATATCCTACTGATTACTTAAAACCACCTAATGATTACTTAAAAAAAACGAGTTCGGGTTGGGAAAGTTGTTAAAATTCCCTAAAAACGATCAATACGCATCTCATTATAACAATTGCAATTTTAGTAGTATAGTATAATAACTTTTACGTAGACACATAAGCAGAAACCAGCAGGTTTCAGAAACAAATATTAGCACCGTAAGCATTGTGTAAATCTGCGTATTTACTATGTTCACTACTAGTGATAACGGCTTCCGCACTTTTTGCATCGTTCTTGTCTCTAAATATAACGTTTTAATAGCCTTAGGTATAGATGTAAATAGCATTCCAGGACTAATTCGTTTTAATGGTCACCCGCTTCTAAAAAACCTTGCCATTGTTTTCCATAAGATTATACGACAAGCCATGAATTTCAATATAAATTTTTGCATAATTAATACTTACAAGTGAAGGCACATAATGCACGAAGTGGTATGCTAATGAGCATAAAACATTGAAAAAATCATAAAATACGGGTTTCCGACAAATGTAACGTGATTATAACTTTTAACCTTCATCCATCTTGCAACTTTGTCCAACAAAATCAAATTAACTTGTTTCCATTAAATAATAATTGTGCACCTTGATTTTCATTTAAATTGAAGTCGCACCTCCATAAAATATACTTTTAACGTTACAATATTAATCTTATTGTTTATAGGAATAGTTTTCGTACTGGTTTCAATTTAATTTGCCTTATTTATTAGTTAGTATATGAGTCAAATCTTCTAACCAAATTAAGTTCTCGCCAAACGATTAAGCTGAAATGTGAAATACATATGCAACTTTGGTGACAATGTAATAATTTAGCATCACAAGGGTAGTCTACTAATGAATACGGGATGCAGATATAGGAACGTCTCATGTAAGAACTCGACATAACTACGTCGTGTTTATGCTTGTTTTGTTTTGCTTAACCATTACTGCGGACCTAGATAGTGTCCAGGGTCTGATGGACTTATTTGTAGTGCCGACAAACACTGCAGGTAGTTGAAATTGAAAGATTAAGACGTCTTCTTTATAATTAATTCGTAAATCTTTGTTTTGACTGAATGTTACATATATTAATAGCTGACGACACTTAGCACATGGCCGTAGTTACAAACTAGACAGAGCCTGTACCATGGTAAGCAGACTGCTGATAACCATACTTATTTTACTAAATATATTCTAATATATAAAATTCTCTCTGTTAGAAATTGAACGACACTGAAACGGCTCTACCGATTTTCGTGAAATTTTGTGTGCATATCAGGTAGGTCTGAGAATCAGCCAACATCTATTTTTCATCCGCCAAATTTTTTTTTTTTGGAAAAAAAATTGAAAAAATGTATATGGCAAAACAACAATATATAAATGACACTCAGATACAGAACAACTGACCGTACTCATGATACAATAATTTGTGGGCGGTAATCAGTAGTCAGAATTAATAACCATGAGAACTACAGACCCATGTTTGTAAAAGCTACCGCGCTTCAGAAATAATTCATTACGAAAGTCGTCTTGAAGTAAATTAATTAAAAATCTAAGCAGTAATAAACATATGTTTTACATTATCAGCTCATTATTCGTTAGGTTACTACATCAACTGACCCTATATAACCTTAACCAGACTTACTAATCACATTACAATAAAATCCTAATGTGACAGAAAAAATAATCGCCTTAATCTATTACAGAAATACTATTATATAGTATTATTGCTAAAGTAATGTTGCTAAAGTATATGAGGACTCTTCTAATACAGGTTATTTAAACTTAACAGAAGAGTTCCTATACCCTATGAATATTACCCATGTAATAGCGGTAAATAAAGATTTTTAATTTGATTTCATAATAAATATAATCCAGAGAAAAAGTAGTATACACTGTGAAAAATTACATGTATTAGTTATATAGGTACAATATAGCATTGTACTTTGTCTCTAAATAAACATTGGTGGTCGCAGATGGCTTTTAGTACCACACAGTACAAAGAGTGTACAATATTTGACCTGCAATAAAGGCGGTACGTTGTACTGTCGAGGCACCTGTTTACCATAATAATACGTTTCGTTTTAATACAAACACAAATATGGATATTGTGTATATAGTTATTATCTAATACCTTTAAACAAGCAATTTTTATACATTTATATGTATATATTCTGAATCTCGGAAACGGCTCTAACGATTTTCATAAAATTTAGTATGTAGGGGGTTCCGGGGTCGATTAATCGGACTAGCTATGTTGCATTTTTAGAAAATTTACTAAAAAAAAAACACCGAGCAAAGCTCGGTTTTCCAGGTACTTAAGTTTAAAAGTAACGTGACGTAAAAAAGTCGATATGTGATACTTTCTTGCTCTCTTTTGCATGTATTACACACGTGCTTAAAACACAATAAAAGTTATATTGCAAAATATATTATGGTTAATATGACACTTTTAATGTTCGTTTAATATCTGGAGTATGCATGGCTTTGTAGAAATCTATCTTATCTTTGCTCGAAATCAACTCCTTCAAAAGACAGCGAATATTATATCTTGAAAAAAATGGTATTGACTATATATATGTTTGTATGTTCATTCGTTTTCTAGAGCCCATAGTACAAGTTTTTTCTTGATAGCGTTGTATACAACATGCTAGGATATTTTTATTACTACTTACTGAGTGGTTAAACAGTATAACTAATCTCAGCTGCAGCAGTGTTTTTACAATAAATTAATTGTAAGCAGGATGAACGAAATTTAACGCAAGTCTAAGATTAGATTTTAGCAGAATGAAAATGATTTGTCGAGTTAAAAATATCGAATGTATATAAATAATAGAACAAATTGACATGACACTTAACAAAATATGATTAAAGAATATTAGAGGTCCTTGTGATATTATTCTACCCATTATTATATATACGTATATGTTGGATTTCTTCACTTCGTTTTGATTGTGTT